AGGTCAATGTGTAGGACTGAACTCAGTGAAGAAATTGAAGCTAGAGATTTGAATTTGGGAGCCTTCTGCACAGACTAGTGAAGGAAGTGATGATGTGGACGGCATTGCCTAGGGAGGTATTAAAAAAGAACTAGGTGGTCTATAAAAAAACTGCTGTATGTCAAGATGAAGCCAAGTGAACATCTGAGAATGTTCCAGTTTTATTGACATGGACGCCATTTTTTATGTCAGCAAGCACTGTTTGGTGGAACAAAAACACTGAACTTCCAATGGGATATGGAGAGGTACAATGATAGGTGAGGAATCAGAAGCAGCAGGTGTGAACAGCCCCTTGAGAAACTTGACAGAGAAGAAAAGGTGAGGGAGGACAGTTGTTGAAGGGAGAATATGATTAGTGAAGGGGAAAATCAGCATTATTATTTGAAATGCTTTAGTTAAATTGAATAGCTTTTAATGACCATAATAAAAATTGAGCTTTGAGAATAAATAGACTGTGCAAAAGAACCAATGTTCATTAAATCATTTTTCTGTGCCGCTTCTTAATTGGTAATTGGTTTTCGGCCCTGACATATTTGCTCGTTAATTGCTAGGCTTCCTATTTAATCATGCTTTAATAATTCTCTCAGGAGGACATGGCTGAAAAAGATCCAAAGAGAGACCTGAATTCCTTTCCATAAATTGCCCATGCTAAGATAGGACAACTACAAGAAAGTTTTCTCTGTAAAATCTCAGCCCTGTTTTTATTTTATGCTCTTAAATGTTCACCCTATAGGGAGAATGATACTCAAGGGAAAAGGGATTTTGCAAGTTCCATGTGCTTCCTTTTTGTGCTCTTATTATAATTACAAGCAACTATCTTTTTTAAACATATTTTACTAGTATATTTTAAAAAATAGATGGAATCTGAGCTACCCTGTGGAGTGTATGACATGCCCTTCAAGTTAACTTTGAAAGGTGATTAATTATAGTGGTGTCTGTTCAGTTTCAAAAGTTCAAATTAAATGTACTTCAAAACTCTTATCAAAGGGAATATATTTTACACACCTGTCACTTGTGAGAAGGGCTGATTTGAGTTGAAATTATGAAGGAGGTAAAGCTAATCACTAGAACCCTGGCATACCCCACTCTGGACTGTTGAATGAATGTATCTTCTAATACCCATTGAGAGGCCCTATCTTAAGCACTCCGTAACTAATTCTCCCCAAGTTTATGTGATTTCACAGAATTGATGTAATTCAATGTTGGAAAGGACTTTCAGAGTTCACTGAGGCGTGAAGGAACAAGGCTGAGTCCTGGGTGAGCAAGGGAGTAGAGAATGCCTGAGGGCTTTGGGTTGTCAGCTCAGCATCCACTATAGCAGAGGGCAGCAAGCTAGAGCTCACAGGCAAGTCCAGTCCAATGCCTGTTCTTGTAAATAAAGTTTTATTGGAATGCAACCACGCCCATTTATTTACATATTCTCAGTGATTGTTTTCCTTCTGTGGCAACCGACATAAATAGTTGCTGTAGAGACCATGTGTATTCACTATCTGACCCTTCAAGTGGCCAGCTATAGCACTGGTTGCCAATCCTGGCTGTACTTTAGAAAGTTCTAGGTTGCTGGGTCACATTCCTGACCTTCTCATCCCTGATCTTTCAGGATGGAATTCAGGAATCAGCATGTGTAAAAAGGATTTTAATGCAAAGTCAAGTGAAGAATCACTGCATTACATCATGCTGCCTCTAAAGCACATTTTGCCTTGAATATCCATTTCAGGTTGCAAGTGCCTCTTTTATATGGGCTGTGAGACTGAAAAAATCTCTCCAGAGCTATGCCCAGCAAACTTTTGCTGGTATTAGAATCTCCTGCCGTGCAGGTTAGAACTCATATTGTCACACCTCCAGACATTCTGACCAGCAGACCTGGGGTGAGGTAGAGTGGGCCTTTTGAAGAAGCTCACAGTGGTCTTAATGCTGGGGCCCAGTGGACAGCGTAGACCTAGGTAAAAAGGGCTTGCATCTCCAAGATGCCAGAGTCAGGTCCAATAATCCTGGGATGGGAGTGGGCATGTATTTATTTATGGACCATCTGCTGGAACTGTTCTAGACTATATTTGTAAAGACAACCACTCCTCTGCTGATGGTCATTACTTTGCCCTTCTCTATCCCACTTCTGAGACTAAACTTCAAGCAATCTTTGCACTAGGTTTCTATCCTTTTCTATCCCTTAATCACTTATCTTTTATTGTTTTAAAATTGCCTGTGGGGTATTTTTAGTCTTTTTTTAAAAAGTATCTTTTTGACTCAAGATGGGCTGAGGGCAGATATGAAACAGTTTCAGATATTAAAGAAAATGAACCCTCGCAAAATTGTAAGGGAAATCAGAAGTTTGTAAAAATTGTAAATGTGAACACATAAAATGGCAAAAAGGCAACAGAGATAGGCAGAGATCTGTTTCGGTGCCACAAAATTGATTTTATTTTGAACCAGGAAGCAACAGCAATCAAGAGAATAGTCTGGACTAAGGGCGTGGCAGCGTGATTCAAGTACCAAGGAGTGACTTTGTCCAGTGCAAGGTGGAGTAAAGAAAAACAATTTTTCATTCCCAAACTAAGCTCCTCCAAATCATGATACTTTTCAGTGATTCCCATTTACACAGGCTTGGATTATTTTACAGATTTCGGATTTTGTTAAGTAGTTCGTAAACATTTTTGAAGGAGTCACTGCAGAGAACCTTTGAATTGACGACGTCCACTTTTTTTGGTATATCAGGCACTGAATCAATTATAGAAATATTAAAATGTATTTATGCATTAGAGTTTTGCATTTCAAAAAGGCCAACAACCAAGAACGTTTGAACTTGGAAACAAGTGATATTTTGGGCCAGATACCTCTTTGTGGTGGTGGAGCTGCAGGATGTTCAATGCCATCCCTGACCTCTACCCACTAGATGCTGGTAGCACTGCGTCCCCCAAGTTGTGACAAGCAAAATTGACTCCAGACATGGCCAAATGTCTCCTGGGGGGTAAAATAGAGCGCAGAATGAGGAGCACTATTTTCAAAAACTTCCTCCTGCCGTCGTCATTGTCTTTGTGTGCTTTTTGGTATTTCATGAAGGCAGACCAGATGTCAACTTCCCAACACCAAATATACATGTCTGTGAGCACATAGGCATGTGTCTCTGCAGGCAGTTGCAAATGTGCCTGGAGCTGGGATGGAATTCCACGTTGACTAGAGGGCACTAGATCAGTTCCTCAGAAGTTAAAGGTCAATATAGCAGTACCATAATTAAAAGCCTGTTGATTCAGGCTATCTCCTCTTGTCCAGCAGAAACCATCATCCATATTTGCAGTCAGTTTTTGAAGTCACTTTCTTTAAAGCTGGAAAGAAAATCTTCGCCTAAGTCCACCCTCATCTTAATTCACCATTTAGATTCCTACTTGAATGATACAGCCAGCAATTTTCCACTTTGGATCCAGACTTCTTTCTATCCACTAGGAAGAGAGGTACCATGTTTCTGAGTTCTGCTATCAGGACTGACTACATAATTTGCAGGACCCGGTGCAAAGTGAAAATGCAGGCCCTTTGTTCAAAAATTATTAAGAATTTCATGACAGTGACAGAAGAGCATTGAACCAAGCTTAGGGCCTCTCTGAGCCCAGGGTTCTGGGATACTGAGCTATCATACAACCATGATGCCAGCCCTTGTAACTTTGGTTGGTGCCATGTCAATTTTGTTGTATTCATTTAATTGGCACTGCCATCTCTTTTGCTCCTATATTGAAATGCTTCCGGTGAAGTGAAGACCTCAAAAAAGTAAAATAAAATATTGTGACCCCAATCCATTTGAAGAGAATGCATTATTATACTGCAGCAAATGTTTACAGCATATATTTTTTTAGACTTTCAAAAAAATCCACATGGAAATTTTTTCTACACCATTACAGTAATTAAAACACGGTGGCCTTTCACCATATACATATTTTCCTGTAAATGTGACAACCTGGAAATAGTAGCTGCTACATCCACAATGGTTTTAAGTTAGCCAAAAGTGAGACTTTCACAACAAAATTATAACATAATCTCTTATCCTTATAAAAATAGCCAAAACATACCCTAAACAGCTTGGAGTGAAAACTTGAGTAGTAACATCTTTATATTGAAAAACATTATATTCATGGAAATAGTGTCCTTCCAGTAAATGCTTTCTGTTAACATCATAAGGCAAACTGTAGCATTTATTGGTACCTGGAGACCATGGTTTTAAAAACTCAGAAACTGAGTTTTAGACCCTTATATTCAGAACCTGTAAGTGTACAAAGTGCATTAAAATATCCATTATCCAGTAACCCAAAATGTATGTAAAAATTACTGAGAGAACCCTTTCTATTTATTCAGGGAAGGCAAATACACATTGTTTTACATTGTTAAACAAAAGAAAAAACATTTAGTTGCCAAAAAATGATTCGTTTTTTTTCATTGAGGTGTCTATTTCTTAGATGTGTAATTGTCTTACATAGCTATCAAAATATTCATCTGGGTATAAATAATGTAGTAAATATATAGAATTTATCCAATAAGAAAAAGGACAGCATCTGCCAGGGAAGAGACAAAAGGACACAGGAAGCTGGCTTGGTCTCCCTCAAAGTCCAGTTTGGCAATCACATAAGCCTTTGGCCATGTGGTGCTAAAACAATGGGTCTATTGACTTCAGAGAAACGATTGATTTGGTTAAAAGCAAAATTACTAAAAATGATGCCTAAATCTACCAGTCTGTTTATTTATTGGCTGACTCAGTAGCCCAGATAAATATTTTAGCCATCACAAATCTTTCTAGAAGTCATGCCCTTCATCAAGGTAGAACCAATAGCAAACTTCCAGTCCAAAGACCGCTCCAGAAAGCCTTAATTCAGGGACCATTACAATGTGTCAGAGCAGCATGCAAAGAACCCCATCTGACAGTTGATTAGCAGGTTCTATTTGCAGGTTCTTGCATGCAAATAGTGAGTTTCTTTCTTTTTGTTTTACAATTCTATGTTACTATACTAGAATATGGAGGGACTTCTACATCTTTCAAGATGTGTTTAATTAATGTTTGTTTATAATAACTTGAGACATATATTCTAGTGAATAGTGTTTTATGCAATGTTCCTTGCTATTACTAACTCATAAATATTAAGTGTTTTTCAGTGACTTATTTTTGGACATGGTAGTTGTGATCAGGGCCATGTGCTGATGTCCTAGAGAACAAAATCAATTCAAAGTGTGCTGCCATTCGTGACAGATTGTGTTTATTTATTTCCTCAGCCCCAGAGAAAAGGGAAAAAAATCAATTGGGGAAAGGGGAAATAGGACAACTATTAAATGTAGTAAAGAAATTTCATATGCCTAAAAAAACTATTAAAAGGATAAAATAGTATTATATCATCAAACAGAATCCTGCTTCTGAGAAAACACAAATCAGCCTAAATTTCTGAATAATCTGTAGGATTCAAAGTGACTATTTTCAATTGCAATCTCATTCATAATATTAGCCCAGAATCCTTAGCCCTGTGAGAAGCAGGGTTATGTATGGCCAAAGGTTTCAGAACCTTTCTTCCCAAAGTTATCCCATCAACCACCAGAGAGTAAAGATTGAGCCCTGGCTAAGTCTGAGGTTCAAAGTTCAATTCAAAGTCAATTTTATCCATTCTCCTTCTTACTCTATTCTAGTTGATCCACAAGTTTTTGACATCACAGTTAAAATACTTCAAATTACACCATAGTAAGAAAGCCTGTTTGTTTCCCTACTAGGTTAAAAATTATTTGTATTTAAAATAGCTGCATATTCTGTAATGCACTGTCAAAGTGACAGGACCTACCATGGGCTCAGTATGAAATATTATGTGAGAAAGTGAATAAACGTACAAATCTACAAAAGGTTTTTTTGTTTTGTTTTCTTTTCCTTTTTCTTTTTTTGCAAGCCCATAGGCAGTGATGAAATAAAAGTTGTAAAGAGCTGGCAAACTTATGGGCCTCTCAATGTGCAAAACCAAGTCATTCCTAACAGTTGTAATCCCGATTATGTTTCTTTTATAAATAATCTATAGATTTTCCTCTAAATACAAAAAAAAAAATTATTAAAGCCTGTACTTAATACAAAACACAGTAAAAGAAAAAGAAATCTCCCATTTGAACCCTATTTTAGATGATCTATGGACAGTTTGGGGGAGATTTAATCACACTCTTGAAACCTGTGCTTTCTTAATCCCCTAAATAGTGAATAATAGCCTCAAACTTTGTTACTCCTGGAAAGCAGCTTCATGTGGTCAGATGCTCACGGCAGCTGCTCTGTACAGTCCAAATGGTCTGGGATAGGAAGACCAGTTATAATCGTCAAACACTTGTTCCACAAGGTGAAGGTGGGGCACACAGGCTGTGCAAATGCCACATCGAAGGTGTAGAGGTGGATGGAGTTCAAAGCATCATAAAAAGCGATGGAGCCATTATCATAGTCTAGCAGGATGCCAACGCGTCGCAGGTGGGGGGCTGGCTCGATGGGGATCTCCTTGCTGTTGTGTCTCACCACCCAGTTATTGTTACAGCGGCAAAGGGCCCAGGAAGCAGAGTTCTTCCCAATCCATTCATGCTTTGGGGCTGATTTGTAAGCAAGGCCAATGGCATACCTGCAGAGACAAAATAGCAACAACAAAAACAGTGAATGACATTGCGTGTGTGTGTACTTAACCTGTTCTATGGTCAATTTTTTTTCATGGGGTTATGAAAATGTGATCATCTGTTGTCTCTGTTCATTCTCTTTAAGTGAAAGATTAGCTAAGAACCCCAACACCTGTATTCCTCATCTTCTTCTCTCCTAAACATACTGTAGGCAGAAAGGGGCCATTGTATTTGTCCACAGTCTTGTTTTCAGTTCAAACACTGCAAAAGAATCTTCACTACATACTTTGTTGTTTTACTTTCTCTCATGAATTACCAGTACCAACAGATAGAACTTTCTGCAATGATTGAAATGTTCTGTTCCGTTCAGTACGGTGGCCAGGAGCCACATGGGCTATTCAGGCACTCAACTGGCTAGTCAAACTGAGGAACTCAACTATAAATTTATAGATGGTTCTTGATGGTCCAATTTAAAGATTTTTCAACTTTACAATGGTGTGAAAGTGATATGTATTCACTAGGAACTTTCTTCAAATTTTGAGTTTGGATGTCTTCCTGGGCTAGTCAAATGAAGTATGATCTTCTCTTGCAAAGCCAGGCAGGGGCAGTGAGCCACAGTTCCCAGGCAGTCACATGATCACAAGGGGAAGCAACTGTTCCTGTACTCTTCCATGAAATACATTCAATAAATTGTGCAGTTAATTATACAGTGGGCTTCATGTTAGATCAATTTGCCCAACTGTAAGCTAATTTAAGTGTTCAGAGAACATTTAAAATAGGCTAGGCTAATCTATGATGGTCAGTAGATTATGTGTAGTAAATCCATTTTTCACTTATGATATTTTTCCATTTACTATGGGGTTATCAGGATGTATCCCCATCATAAGTGGAGGAGCATCTTATTTAATTTTAATTAAGATAATTATTTAAATAGCCACATGTGGTTTATGGCTATGATATTGGACAGTGTAACCTAGACTTGTCCTTTTGATCTTCTTTAAATTTTTCAATTGTAGTTTTCCATGACTTTGAATGCACTTTGCCAAAGGCAAGTGATGAGAATGATTTCCATTTATGAGGATAAATCCCTTGTCATCATTCAGTCTCAGTTTCTCATCTATAACACTGGGACAATAATAGTCTCCATCTCCCAAGCTTATTTTAAGAGGTAAAAGAGAAAAAAAATGCATTTTAAATCCTGGGCCCAAGGCCTGACATGTAATATTCAGTAACTATTACTTCATTATAATGTCTGATGACACATTAACAGTAAGTACTGGAATCAGAATTTGAACCTAGGATGACTCAAAAGGCCACAAACTTATGACACTTTATAATGCCGTCCCTCACCAGAAATTGTACAAGTCACCACTGCCAAGAGCTCTCCTGATTATATTTCCTAATATTTTTAAATTTTAAAAATATCTTTGAGTGGAGAGATATCCAGTTATCCTAAATGCTCTCACTGTTCAAAACTAAAAATATTAAGATTTTTTTCTACAATGTTCTAAGCTTCTTAATCTCCTTTAACCTCTCTGAGACATGACCTGTAATATTCAAAGCATTTCACAGTTATTAAGATAAGCAAAACACATCACTCTTAATAGAGTGAATGACTCATAGTTCAACTTTTAATATGTTATAGCAGAAGCCAGTGTAATTGGATATTGACATATGGTACCTTATCCAGTGAAGAGGGGAAAAATTCATTGGTCTTTGTTAAAATGACATTCTTTTAAAAATTAGATGTTGAGTTAAAATACAGTCACTTTAAGAGTAGGGAGTTCAAATGAAACTTAATAAAACATGGCATCATCCATTAAATCAATGTGCCAGCCCATCTGTGATGTCAACCCCGCATCCTGTCTTCCCTCATGTTGATCCTCTTCTACTTGTAGAGAGAATTCTTGGTTGCATTTCCCAGAATCCAAAGGTCAGGTTCTGCTATTGCAACGCCCTTGCACAAGATGCAGAAACTGTGAGAGGAGGGGAACTCTGTTCTGATGGTAGACAGTAGATATGAGGCTTGTGGAAGCTTCAGCTGAGCACCTGGCAACACCTGCTTCAGTAGTGGGCAGCCAGTCATGGTGACTCCATGCATAAAGTAGCAGACCAGCTGATTTGTACTCCCAGGGTGCTACAGTCCCATAACTTTTGACTCCCTTCCTTCATGGAGCACCTTGATTGACTTCTATTAATCTGCCAAGTCTTAACTCATATACTTTGAAATGGTTTTCATTTTGCAATTTAAAATATCTCTCCCAGTGATCTTCTATATGCCCTGGCAGACACTATTTCCAGTTTTCAGATAATGTGGGAACTACATTTGCATCACAAAATAACCACATCTGTGTTGTTTCCTTCGTGTTGCTACATACCATATTAATTTTTTATTAAAGAATTTTTATGTTTATTTCCCATTTGAACCTTAACTGAATTCTGTGTAGCTACATCAGGGATGGCTGTATTCAGCAAATAGGAAATATAGAGAAGGTTAAAATTAGGAGCAAACTCCAGAAATCTTCTGCTGCCCTTTTGACTTCTGGTCTAGTAATTGTGGCATGAACTCATTATTATAGGTTTAGTTAACACCATTTCATAAAACACCCAGTGCACATTAACAGCATTAGAGAATAAGAAAATAACCAAGTGCATAGTCCATTAGGCAAAGGAAAATACCATTATATTATCATTAATCTGTAAAACTATGTACATAATTCCATTGAGCTTGAAAGGGGCAAGCACAATGTAATGTTCCATTAAGTTGTGCAGTGAGACATGGAGAATTAAAAAAATATAAAAATTATGTTTCTCAGAGCAATGTTAACATGCCCCATTGCATGGATCATAACATACACGTTAATTTAAAGTCAGGACTATATTTCATGAGAAAATATATGTGTCATTAGCTGTTGTAAGTCAAGGTGTCACAAGCATTTAATAGTAGAGGAACCCCTTCCTTGCTAATTCCTCCCAGGAAATATGAAACTATTCTTGATATGAGGATTTCTCTGAAATTGACACAAACAGGTTTGTAAAGATCCAAAGTGCAGCAATTAATTGTAGAATTTCTTTCCCCCTCAAGAGTTAGTTTTGACATCTGGAGGATGTTTTAAAGGTAATGCTGATCTGTGTTTATGGAACTAAAGTGGTCTGGTGGAATTTCCAGCATTATTCATCAATGGCAATGAGATCATAGTGATCAACTATCATTTATCATAAATAATTATTAATGGGGTTATAATCATTTAGACATTGAATTTCATCCCAGATTAATATAGCACATTAATTAACTAGAAATGATTGCCTTTTTGCAAGTACATTCATGGTATTTTCCTCTGTGCTTTTCTTTTTCTTCAATGCAGCTAAAAATTGCAAATGCCAACCTAGCCCAGAGCCTAGTATGGTGAAGAATTTGCCCTCCACCTTCAGACAGGATGTTGAGAAAAGAAAATGTTCTAGGCAAAGAGAATCATGAGGATTACAATAAATGAAATCTACTCACTCATCCAGTAATAGTACCACTATTGGGAGAAATGGGATGCCCAAGCTGATTTTTGCCCACACTAGGAAAGACACATATTGCATTATTTTCATAGATTTGAATTGAAAGGTCTTTTTAAAATGAGAAGTGTTCTATCAATGCCTACACCAAAAGAAACACTGTTATAATACTCACCATCTTCAGGTTATACAGTTTTCAACATTGGTTTTATTTTTAAAGCACAGATGAAGCTTTCAGTAAGTATATACTACTATAAGCTCTAAAGAGTAATTAAGCCCTGTGGGGCATGGTGGTGCATGCCTGTAATCCCAGTGGCTCAAGAGGGTGAAGGCAGAAGGATCGCAAGTTCAAAGCCAGCCTCAGAAACTTAGTGAGGCCCTAAGCAACTCAGCAAGACCCTGTCTCTAATAAAATACAAAAAGGGGCCAGGGATGTGGCTCAGTGGTTAAGTGCCCTTGGGTTCAATTCCTGGTACCCACCCCCCCCAAAAAAAAGAGTAATTAAGCCATTTCACAAATATGCTGTAAATAGCAGCATAGCACAGTGGTTAAGAGCACAGATCAGCAAATTATAAGGCAGGAATCAACTCTGGTCCTCTGCCGATTTTTATAAATGAAATTTTATTGGCACACAGTCATGCCCATTCATGTATGTACTGTCTGTGGCTGCTTTCCCACCACAACAGCAGAGCTAAGGAGTTGACTTGGAACAAAAATTGGCCCATAAAACCAGAAATATTGAGTGTCTGGGTCTTTTACAGATGATATTTGTGGAGCTCTGGCTGAGAGTTTGACCCCTGATTGTGGATTCTTGTCTCTGCCATCTCTTGTGAGTTTCATGACCTTGGGCCTGTGCCTCAGTCACTTCATCTGTGAAAATGGGATAGTATCAATACCAACTTTTGTAGGGCAGTTAGGATGAAAAAATGAGTAAAATGCTTAGATCAGTGCCTTGCCTGGCACATAGTTGCACCATATGAGGGCTTGTTAAATTAAAGCAAAATAGGTCCCTTTTTGATCAATAGTAAGTCTGCATTTATGAGACAGATGGCCAAAGTAAGGGGTGGAGTTTGTGGCTATGGCGTAGGGAAGGCCAACTTTGCAGTCTTAGCTAATTCTAATGTAGACTTCTCCCTGACTTTGGCACTTAGTTTTAGGGAACCCAGCAGGCTAAGGTCACTGGGCTAGATGAAACAGAACTCTTGAAATTATTCACAAAAGCCTATAATCAGTGCTTCACCTCCACCCATTCTGCCCTTTACTATTTGCACTAATTTTCTAATCTTGAATCACAAAACATACAAGGTAACAAAAATTAGTTTTGTTAAAATAATGAAGAATAATGTTTTTAAGTAGGAATGGCTGATTTTTTTTTTCTCTAAAAGGCCAGAAAGAAAATATTTTTGGTTTTGTGAACCACATCATTGTCTTAACTACTCAACTCTGCCACTGTGGCCCCTAAATAGCCACAAACAACATGTAAATAAATGGGTATAACTGTGCCCCCATAATGCATTTTTAAAAAATTTATAAAAACAGGCTTTGGAGCTGGGGCTATAGCTCAGTGGCATAGTCCTTGCCTAGCATGTGTGAGGCACCGGGTTCAATGCTTAGCATCACATAAAAATAAATAAAATAAAGGCATGCTGTCCATCTACAACTACATTAAAAAAAAAAAAAAAAACCAAACAAATAGGCTTTGGGCCATATTTGGCCCAGGGGCTGTAGTCTGCCAACCTGCATTTTAAGGCATCAAAGAACAGTATTTAGATACCAGAGCTCTTCCAGGAACCAGAACTCAATGATCTTGCCTCTAATTCCTGCCATAACTTAAACACACACACACACACACACACACACACACACACACACACTAATAACAAGTTTTTTTTTCCTTATTGGCTGAGGAGTGGGTTAGATGATTGCTTGGCAAATATTCACTCCCTCCTCATGCCTCTGTGGGCTTTGGGATTGGCTATATTAATTTGGCCAATAGGAATTTAGTAGAAATTATAAAAGCAGAGGCTTGAAATGTGCTTGCCTTCTTGGATTCCTTGAGAAGAACATTATGTGGGTGGCCAACACATCCAAGAAGGCTGGAGAGACACAGAACCAGCCTAGTACCAACCTACAGCTTCAAGCAAAGCCTGGTTGAGATTAGCTCTGATCAGCCAACCCCTACATGGGGGTGTTAGTTAGCAATAATAAATGGTTGTTGTTTGAAGCCACTAAACTTTGGGGTATTTGTTATGTAGCATTATTATAGCAATAGCTAACTGATACAGCTTTTCTGCATTTGATTCTTCAGGATGGATGCTTAACAAATTGATGCTCTAACAAAGAACAGAATGAGGGATGGAGATGGGGCTCAAGCGGTAGTGTGCTCGCCTGGCATGCGCGGGGGCTGGGTTTGATCCTCAGCACCACATAAAAATAAAATAAAAGATGTTGTGTCCACCGAAAACTAAAAAATAAATATTAAAAAATTCTCTCTCTTTCAAAAAAAAAAAAAAAAAGAACAGAATGAGATCTGCCTTTTAATAACAGGAAGAATATAGATAAAAGTTGCCTACCATGTGCTTCCACTTATGACTACTTCCCAGTAATGCCGGCCACTATCAATGAACACATTTCCAGCCACTCCATAGCTCCCTTGGCTGGTGAAGCGTTCAGGCGTATGACTCTTTTTGGATGATGACTCATCACGTTCTACTGTCAAGTTATCATGGGACACCTTTAGTTTTCGATGAGCAGATTTGGGATCCAGTTTAAAAGGTTGGCCTAGAAACAAGTTAAAAAAACAAACAAAAAAAGGAAATGGAAAAACACTTTATTTGAACATGACCAATGACATTTTCATAATCAGATTTATAAAACTGGAATAAGTCATCCCTCTCTGAATAATGCCTTCTGTGACAAAGCTATATCTTACATTTTTAAAGTAATTTAAGCATTATAAATAACTTTTAATTTGAAATGGAACCACCATTTGACCCAGCTATCTCACTCCTAGGTTTAAACCCAAAGGACTTTAAATCAGTATACTACAGTGACACAGCCACAGTAATGTTTATAACAGCTCAATTCATAATAGCTTACGAATTTAGGAATATTACTTAGCCTTAAAGAAGAATGAAATTATGGCATTTGCCAGTAAATGGATGGAACTGGAGAATATCATGCTAAGAGAAATAAGCCAATCCCAAAGAATCAAAAGCCAAATGCTTTATCTGATATGTGGATGCTAATTCACAATAAGGGGGGGGGGGGATAGAGATACTTTGAATTAGACAGAGGGGAATGAAGAGGGGAGGGGTGTGGAGGTAGGAATGATAGTAGAATGAATTGGACATTATTACCGTATGTGCATATATGATTATATGACCTGTGTAATTCTACATCATATACAACCAGAAGAATGAGAAGTTATACTCCATTCATGCATGATATGTCAAAATGCATTCTATTGTCATGTATAACTAATTAAAACAAATTTTAAAAAATAAAATAAAAATAAATAAATAACTTTCAAAGACATTTGCTTACAGTGTTCATGACATTCAAAATATAATTAGGGAGCAGCAACCCTGCATAAAGTATAATGCTAAGCAAGGTAAGAATTAGAACATGGCCCTCCCTTCATGAGCTTCTAGTCCATGAGCTTCTAGCTTCTAGATGGGATCCTGTGGTACTATACTAACTGTACAACAACAGTATGGGCAAGGATCACGGTATGGACTATCTTCAAGGATTCCTGCTGAATACGAGCAGCACAGGTACATACTGGCTGTGTAGTGTCCTCAAAAGAAAGAGAAAATGGAGACTTTTTATTTTTAATAAGTACCATATTCAATTGGGCCTAAAACATATTTGTGCTCAATAAACTTCAGAAACCAAACAAATCAAGATGTCACATCTTAACATGTAGAATAATCTAAAGGCTTACATTATTCTGAGACTGCTAAAAATTGAAAACCATGAAATTAACCCAACTCAGAAACTCAAAGGTCGAATGTTTTTTCTCATATGTGGAAGCTAGAGCAAAACAAATGAAAGGGAGAGGGAAGGATAAGATTACATAAAGAACCAATCAAATACAAATTAATAGAAGAGCGAAAGGAAGCCTAGTAGAAGAGTCTAGTAGAGAGACAGGAGGGAGGACTGGAGGGAAAGGGGGAGGTAAAAGGCGGGAAGCATGAATCAATATAGTTTCATGCATGTATGAGTTTTGGGATGAACCCAATTGCTATGTATAACCACAAATCTCTAATAAAAGTTTTAAAACTACTCTTAGGAGTTTAGAATAAGTATAAAATTGTAAAATTTTCGCGTGGCTGTATAACCAATGTGATCCTGCAATCTGTACACGTGGAAAAATGAGAATTCATACCCCATTTGAATCAAATGTATGATATGTCAAGATCATTGTATTGTCTTGAGCAACTAATAAAAAATACAAAAAAATAAAATAAAAAAAATACAAAAAAAGACTAAGTCAATATTTTTGCACATATGCAACTACAAAAATAACAGTGGCATACATCAATAAACACTATTCCTTATTTAAAAAAATTTCAGGTCACAAAATCAGGGAAAAAATATGATAGTAACACTAAGGTTTTCTATTCCTGAGCTTATTCACATATATAATAAATAGGACCCTTTCTACTTCATTATTCATATTTGTATTTTTAAGATTTAACTATTAAAAAATCTTGGCAGAGTGATACTTGGACATTTTGTCATAGCTGTTTTTTCTCTGACAATTCAATATTGGTTTGTATTATTGCCTGTCATTCAACACCACATAGGGTACAAGGCATTTAAAGGCAGGAAATTCGTTACAACCTGATGCAGATACCACAGTATCAAAACTGCACAGCCACTACTGCAGTTGGGTGGCCTTTCTGCCCAACATGCAACTCCCTGACGATTGCAAGAAAAAGTTTGGTAAATCTGACTGGAGTGGGTTGGGGTTGTGGCTTAATGGCAGAGTGCTTGCCTCACACATGTGAGGCACTGGGTTCAATCCTCAGTACCACAGAAAAATAAACAAAGAAACCGTGTCAATGAATCTTTAAAAAGATATTTTAAAAAAATTCTGACTAGGGCATCACATGAAGCTGGCTGAGAAATTGATCCAGTAAGCATGGACAGTATGCATTTTGTCATATGGAGGTAAGCCAAAGGATTACCAATGGCTACTTGGATACAAGCATAACATCAGCACCCAGCAGACGTTTTCTACAATGGGCCAGATAGTAAATATTTTCAGCTGTATAGGCCATGTGATTTCTTTGGTAACTATTTAGCTTCAGCATTGTAGTGAGGAAGTAGCTGTAGACAACAGATAAGTGGATGGGCATGGCTACATGGCAATAAAACTTTCTGTACAAAATCAGGGAGCCAGATTTGGCTCTTCAGCTATGGTTTGCTGATTCTTGTTTTAGATTTCTTCCATATAAAAAACAAACCCAAAAGACTTAAAGGGGAGGAGATAAGAAGACCCTTAAGTGCAAAGTAAGTAGTACCTCACAGGTTGTAAGGACCTATACATGTAGTTACACATGTAGTTTAAATTTTGGCTTGTCTTGTTTAAAAAAAATGTTCTAAGGGATGCTCATGCCATCAATTTTTAGGGATTAAACTATGGACTAAGACAAGAAAAAGTAAAAAGATAGCTTTTAAAGCTGAAAGATAAAAGTAAGTAAAACTGATTAGAAGCTAATTGGCAGAGCAGGAAGAAACTCCATCATGGTGCTCATCATTTAAAAAGGCAAAGAACTATCTACTTGACCTCCTGCCCTTGAGGAATATCAGAATGTTATTGCCATCAGAAAGATTGGACCTGTAATGTTAAAAAAACTTCCAGAAATATCTTGCTTGTCTCCGCTCACACTCTTGGCTACTCACACGCAGGGAATGACCCAGCCAGCATCAGTGAGGCCCAGCCCCTGCATTCTCAAAGAGCAAATGCTACCTGTAGCTAAGAAGTTTTCCCAATTACCTACCACTCACTCTTCACAAATGCCAGACTTTTACTTCAATAAGGACAATAAGTAAAGGAGGAAATTACTGGTTACTTCACTAAAGAATTTAATTCATTAGGATATTTGTATAGGGCATGACCCAATTCTTGCCACCAACTTACACAACTCTTACAATATTTCTTTGCTCAGCTGTCAGTGTCCCTTCCTTGGAATCTATTCACCATCATCAACATTATCAAGATCTTATATCACTGTGCAAGAGAACTTTGTTTTATGGAAATGTTCATCCTGCTTCTCTGATTTAAACTCTTCAACCTGCCCCCCACAAACCATTACTCTCCAATGGCCATTGAAGGTTTCACAATCTGGTTCTTGTCTCCAGGATCCTGGCTTGTCCATCCTCCCGACCTATGCCACACTTTCACCATACTGATCTATTTTCTGTTCCACGACATAATCTCCTTGTCTTTGGGCTTTTGCATTAGCAATTCCCTCTGTGTGGAATGCTTCCTCCTTCTCATACATCTTTCCCCACCTGGAAAAGCGCTCAAGGCTATGCAGGGGTGCCCCTCACCCCTGTAAATCCAGCATATACATGGTTACTCCTTCATGAACTGAAAGGTAACTAAGCATTTATTTGCTTCATTCCCCCAATATGCTGTGAATCCTTGAGAGAACACATCTTAAGGAGTTGAAGATTCATAGTATTCTCAGCATCTTACACAGTATCTCAAATACACTATGTATTCAAACATACTTTTGAAGGATTAAATACACATTCAAATGCAAATCAAAACTATCCATCCAAGTGTGCATCAAGTATTGTTCTGTGTGTCATGTGGCCATAAAAAACATGCCATCATGTTATGTTTTCTTATGAGAATTATTTATGAGTTTGTCTTCGTGACAGCTTATAAATGAAACTAATATATTCCCATTTTACAAGTGAAGAAACACTAAATGCAACTGAGATTCTACATTGGATGCTGGGACAGCAATTTAGTTACACCAATGGTGAAATCTGAATAGAATCTACAGTTTAGGTAACGGTAATACACCAATATCAATTTCTTGGTCATGGCAAAGGTATCGAGGTTAGGTAAGATTTTACCATTAGGTGAAGCAGGTGGAAGGGTGTATAGACCTCTGCAGTGTGTGCAGATTTTATGTGAATTTTTAATCTAATGCTCTTGTTCCATCCCTTGATGTTCTTCTAAGGACCAAAACATGTTCTACAATGCACTGAGAAATCAAAGATATGGTTAAATGAGGGATCCTCTTGAAAGCAATTAATTGTTCCTGTAGACTGGCTGGCAACAGCACAATATGGCGTCATGTAGATACACCCTGATTTGCTTTCTCTGAGGAGGTCTTATGCACAGAAGTACTGTGTTACATTGCATTGCATTTCTAGATCAAAAAGCCGTAAAAGAAAGAGAGGATAAAACAAAACACATGTAGGCAGAGACAGAGACAGAGAGATGACAGTACCATGAGACAAAATTATAGACCAGATCATTCTTTGCACTGGGGGCTGTCCTGTGTATTATGGGATACTTCCCATCATCCCCAGCCTCTACCTGCTAGATGACAGTAGTGCACTCCCCAGTTGTGACAACCAAAAACATCCCCTGGACAGGATGGGAATTGAAAGGGCAGAATCGCCCCTGATTGAGAACAACATACCTAGACAGACATCTTGAATAAAACAGAGAATTTGCTTTTTTTTCTTTTCTCCATCCTTTCCTTCCTCTCTCTCTCCCTCTCCCCACCTGCTACCTCTGTAATGGGAATTAAACCCAGGGGAGCTCTACTACTCTCTACTACTGAGCTACATCCCTAGCCCTTTCTTTATTTTATTTTTATTTCAAGACAGGCAGGGTCTTGTTACATAGCCCCAGCTGGCTTTGAACTTATGATCCTCCTGCCTTGGCCTTCCAAGTAGCTCAGATTACACGTATGCACTACCACACCCAGCTTAATTTGCTTTCCTGCTATAGAAAACTGTCCACCATTTACAGAGCTCCTACTCTATGTCCCCTACTCTATATATTCTATTTCTCATAAGAACTCCTTCAGAATGATTTCCTTGAATATGAAAAAAAGAGAAGACTGAAGTGCTGAGAGATTAACAGCCTCATAGCTTTGAAGGCCTTGAGTCATTTTTGGAACCCAGAGGGAGATGATGCAAATCCCACTACTCCACACTGGTTCTGTATTTTCTTTTTTGAGGTGCCACTGATGTCCAAGACAGGGGGCGGGGGAGGGAGGGAGAAAGAAAGAGGGGAGGTGGGGAGGATGGACAGTGAGAGACAGAGTCAGCTGAAAGGTAAGCAAATGCAAGATGACAACTCTGCTAAATTCACAGCACTTACTGTTTGTCTTCAACTTCCCAGGCTCGCTGCTGCGGCTGCCTGCCTGGTTGATGGCCTTGACCATGAAGATGTACTTGGTGCCACTTTGAAGACCATGCACCGTGTAGTGATTCTGCTTGATGTTGGGCACGATCATCCAGCTATCAGCCGAATTACACAGACCTGTAAAGTCAAACAGATAGGTGCAAGCATGGGCCATGTTTGCATAGTTTTAGGATATCTGAAAGAGTTGGCAAGTAAAGGGCTTAGTCACTTTTTCTAAGGGACACCCAATAAATGAGTGCTCTGTGTCCTATCTATGATAGGGGTGCAATCTGTATTACATATTCCTATTGTGTGCTCTGGATGGACCAGTCACTTAGAATTGCTGTATTGCAAATTCTGGTCTTTGTGAATTGGAGCAGCAAAAGTTATTCTATTTGGAATCTTAAGCACTAAACATGTGCATGGTGTGATTTTAGGTGCTGTGGGAATGAAGTGAAAGCAAACATTTATTCCTCCCACTCCACCCTCATCCCCAATATCATGCTGGTTGTCAAATTCTAAATCTCATCAATTCTGAGACACACAGCTCATGAGGAGACCTGAGTCATGGAGAAGCATACTTCACTAATACAAATGTTGTGGATTGCATTTTTGCCTCCAGTTCTTCACCCTGCTGTATCTAGCCCTTCGTGTCTTTGCAGCTGCTCCATCTAGAGAGGTGGGGAATAGTTCTTTCCTTTGACATATGCCTCAAGTCATGTAACTTGCTTTGCCTAATAGGGTGAGGCCAAAACTGACAATGTACCAATTGAAAGAGGAGACACTGCAAGGCCTTGAGGGTTTCTGTTGACCCGTTGCACCTCTGCCATTGCTATGGGGACAACAGTTTTGGTATAGTGTGCTCATCCCAACTGATGAAGCACAGGAACACCCTTACCACCAGGCCAATGTAGAAGCAAGCCCAGGAGAGATCAGTCAACCCCCTACCAATCTCCAATGGGAGAGCTAAGGGTAGTTTGTGATGCTGTATTAATGTGAACTCAGGAATCATATTATGAAAAAAACCCTGGAGCAGCTGCACCTATAGGGAGCTCAGGCCCCAGTGAAGATCTTAGGAAAGCATCCACAGGGAGTTTTGACCAGCTGCATCCTTGAGATGGCTGGTTCCAGAATGGAGAAGACTGCTCCTCTGGCTATATTCTGCAGGATGTGGATTGAGGAGCAGGCCAAGGATTTATGACACTTGGAAGAACATGTAGGAAAAAGGAAGCTGATTTTGTTTTGCAGCTGGCCGATGCTGGAAACATCTTTTTGGTATCAGGCCCAACTCTCCTCTCTTCACCCATCAATCTCCACTACAAAAGGACCTTTCCCAGCCCCCTGGTGACTGGGCTGTCATGAAGTTTCCTTTCTGTTGAATTTCCACCACCAGTTCCTAGGAGAGGGCTGGACCTCTTTACTTCCTGAGGTCTCCAAACTCACCTCCCCTATCCTTCCCTTTTGGTTGATTTGCAAGTCAAAAGATTAGTTTCTTTGATCTTGAGGCAACTTATACCTTACCAGGCTCTCAAGAAGCTTCCCCTTATTCTCTTTTTTTTTTTTGTTGCTGTTTTGTTTTACCTCTGTGAATCTAATAAAAACTTTCTGAAAAAAAAAAGAGATTCACAAATGCATACATACATTGAACTACTAATATTTACATAGCAAGATAGGCACAGACTCCCTGAAGGCTGTCTTTGAATTGTATTAAATGCTTTCTCAAACTTTTGAGTTAAAATGATTTCTGGTATTCTCACAGATGAGAACTTTTTATTTGTATTTTGTCAGTTGTGAAAACTGACTTCATATGATTTGTACCTTGAGTGCAAAGTATTTTCAGGTATATTCTAGGGAGTATTTGGAAATATATATCTCCATATGTATATACATGGACAGAACATACATATAACATATATATCACATAATATATTATATATATCATATATATGATATGATATATTTTATACACACACACATATATCCTTGGCCTTGTGAATTTCCTGTCACCTCTTTTTCATTTCCACCTGTGAACATTTTCACCAGAGGACTTCCAGATTTGAAAAAACAAGCATAAAGGACATAACGAGTTTGAATGTGTGTGAGAGTATGTGAGTGTGAGTATGTGTGTGTGTTGTGTGTGTATGTTTGGAGATTTAGTAGTTCAACTACAGGTACCACCCACTCTTTTCCAGTTTTCCCAAACTCAGCCCTGCATTCTCCTATGAAGTCCCATTTATCTAAGACCCTCCCCTAAAAAGAAAATAATACAGTAACATGGGAATCTCCCTATGATACATCCCTTTTGGGTCTTTCTCACTTTCCCTTTTCTTTGAACTTGTCTGCAATAAATTCTACTTCTGTATAGTGACACAGTGAAATATTAGATTTTAACCTAACCAAAGAAGGGTCATTTTGAGGTTTGAGCCTCAACAGGCCTATAACTCACTTTAATATTTAATAATATTAATATAATAGTAATAAAACAAAAAATTAGCCTTTCTATTGCCTAGGATAATCCAGTTAAATTCCCAGATCTTTGTCAACAGCAGTCAGGCTTGAATAAAAACAATAACAGCATTCAGTAGATTCAAATGAGAATCCTATCAGTGTCACTGGTTTTACACTATTCCTGTTTAATTGCGTATGTTACAATACAGTGACCATTGTGGTCAAAGAAAGCAAATGTAAAAATGTTTCAATAAACTTTAAATCACTGTACAACCCAAGGCTGGGTTTAATGTGGTGGGGAATGCTTTCAGCAACATCATAAAGCAGATGTCTAAAATGGTTGCAAACTGAAACTTGGCTTACAGTCCAAAATCTTAATGAAGATTTAATGTTTCAGAAACCTTTTCCAAACAAAAAAGGGACTCTGACTATCCTGATTATTTTGAAGAGGCCACTAATTTTTCCTTGAATATTAAAAGAACAAAATGTTTATTGAGTACTAAAATTTTATTGGCTAGCCTTACACTGAAGCAATCTACTTTCATAAATACTAACAATTATTACTGTTTCATCTTACCTTTATATTATTATTGCCAGGACATAATTGAGCAGTTGATTAAAAATGCCAAGAAAACATTATTGGCAATTTTCTCTTGGGGGATGGAGGTAAGTGGGTAACTTAACATGTGCTATTATTGCATTGCTAGTGTTGGTCTTAGGCCAGTACCATCTAACTTCTTGCATATGGCGCTGGATGCTGAGTGTGTTTAAGTGAGACGTCTCTGCCTTGACATCCCACTGTGTCAGGACTGGTGACCAGGTTTTATTCATCTTTTTATGAAACACCCACTCAATCATCCTGCCTAAAACTTCACTTTGTTCCAAACTCATTTTCTATCATCTTTGAGGGTGTTCCAATGCTCACCTAATTCAGCTTAAACTACTAAAACAACAATGGAACTTGGAAGATAATTAGTCCATAATGAAGTCTAATTGAGTTTTTCAATTTTGTACTTTTTTTTCATTCACAATGGATCAGAAGCATTTCCCTACATAATGGGTCTCATTCTAAGATCTTAATTACATTTGGGACTTCAGGGCCTTGTAAGACAACTGCCATCTTCCCACAAAATATTATGTATAAAACATCATGCAATATGGACACCTTTTGGAGAGGCTAACATCCTGTGTCTCTTGTAACAGATTGGACATAAATGAACATCCTTTTCCTTCTTTCTTGTAAAAATAGTATGTGTTTAATAACTTTCATGAATGTTTTCAAAATGACTACTATGCCATGATGGCTTAAAGAAATGTGGCTTTTTAAAATATATTAAGTGTAGCTTTGGAAAGCATTGTAAAATTAAATACCCATCTACATATTAATAAGCAATTCATCAACATCTTAATAAGCCATAACTCTATCAATAAAAATAAAAATAAAAAATTAAGATCATTAATGTTGCAATTGGATTGTACATTTCATTAGTGAGCCTATGATTAAACAAGCTTCATTAACATTATCTAATTCTTCTTCACTAAAGCCATTGAAAGCAATTAACTACAACTCATGCCTAGTGAAGGAACCATGACCTAGTAATAATAAAAGATTTCCTAGTGGCATGAGGAGCAACAGCCAAGTTTTGAACATATCTTTCCATTTTCAGTAGAGTTTTACTGTTAGATCTTGTCATTCAATACAGTATCTGCAAACAACACTTCTCCAATGATACTATGGTACATTCAAGGAAGGCCTTTCACATGCAGATTATCCTGGCAAATTACACAACTGACATTTGTCATATGACATAAAATATCAGCCTTGATATTTTATGATATAAAATATCAGGCAATGGTAGGTGAGTGCAGTTTCTATTTTTCTAGGAATACTAACTTTGAATACAGATGTGTTACCACTGTGGCAAACACAGGGCTAAGGCCTTTACTGTTTATTATCTCAACTAGGTAAGTTAAAGCATTATCCTCTTACAGATGAGGAAACAGATTTGTAGGGCATTAATTTGCCAAAGATTACAGAGCTAGGGAGGTGCAAAGTCAGGTATTGAATGTAGGTTTCCCTTGGTCACTACAAATGCATATGATATTTAAGAAGAAAACAAATTCAAAAATGTTTGCATCTCAGATTTTATCTGAATTTATTCTCTCATTGTTGCAAATTTATCCTGTAGACATCAGGACTTCACTATCTTGGCTAAAATAAAGTATGAACCATCCTATGAGAGTGTCCCAGTTTGATCATCAGCAGCAGCTTTACGTTTTTTAGTTATCTCTAGAAAAAGGGTCTTTTTGGTAACCGTGCATTCAACAAGGCAGGTCCATAGTTTTCATGCAGCCATTTGCATTCATTTTCTGGTGGTGACTCATTTCCAGGAACAAAATATCTCCTCTGGAATCACCCACCATAAAGTTGTGAGTTCATCATGGTGAGTAGTTTTGATCTTGTTGAATTTTGTTAGGCATGGCCTTTTTGAGTCATCTATTCCATTTCTGCATCATGGGTTGGTATTATTTTCCACACCAATAACACGAAGTCAAGTCAGTCATAGTTCAGCCAAGCAAGAAACCTTGTTTCGAACAATACATATCTTTCACTTGAATGATGCAATGCAGCACTGGCATTGAGTTAAGGTTCTAAAGTGAATTGCCTTCTCAACTCAATTCCTTCCTCCTCACTGTATTCACACCTTTGTCATGTACCTTTACAAGCCCTCTCATTCTCACCTGGGGTGGAACCAGGGAACTTGCTTTGGAGGCTTGAAATGCATGTGTGCAATTGGGCCTGCCCTCATACCTTTACCTCTATAATCCCTAAGAGAATAGATGGAGCTGGATAGCGGGAGGATGAGACAGAAAGCAGCAGGTGAATTGTCCCAGTTATTAGACTGCCATGCGAAGCAGCCATGATCAATAGTCCCTCAAGACACATGAGCAACAAGCATTTATTATGATATTCTACTTAGGTTATTCAGTAAGAACCAAGTGATAAAAGTCCCCTCAGGTCAAGCCAAGACTATCTGCTTCTGAAATTCCCATGATAATCTGATTCAAGAAATATGGGGAGATATATAACCATATAATGTTTTATATGCCATCAAGTAGCCCACAGGATCCCCACTCCCTAATATTCATGACAGGATCCATGATCCACTTCAAAGCTACAGAATATGGCCAAGGGCAATGGTCTGTCACCTTTATTACTCCTGCAATTATATTACATTACATAGCAAAAGTGAAGGGAGTTAGTAGATACAATTAAGGCCCCTAATCAGTCGACTTTGAGCTAATCAAAAGGCAGGTTATTTTGGGTGGGTCTGACCATCAGGTGAGCCCTTTAAACTGAGTTTAGAAGTAACAGACTTGAAGTGACAGACTCTCCCTTGCTGGCTTGAAAAAGCAAGCTGCCATGAATACATAAGAAAACAAAGTTTGCCAACAAACTAAGGAACCTAGGAAAGGAACTCATTCTTAGTTGAGTTGCTAGACAAAAATGCAATTCAGACAACACTTTGATTTCTACCCCACAAAACCCTAAGAGGAGGAACCAGCTCAAATGTGCCTTGATTGCTGACCCACAGAAACTGAAATAATAAATGGTATTGTTTTAAGCTGCTAAGTTTTGATAAATTTATTTCACAGCAGTAGAAAACTGATATTGTTTTTTTTTCTTGAACCAAGCAAAAGTGATTTAAGAGAAATATAATGTTCCACACAGGGGCCAGGAATCACCTTTTGGTATAAAATGACTCCAAATGTTTTTGTTTTCTGGTTGTACTATTCACTCTCCGTCTACCATCTTTTGAATTTCATCTTCATTATGTTGATATGATATCTGGTTTACTTTACCTAATACACTAGTAATGTTGGCCACACAGCATAGGGAAAATAATTCTTTTAAAGAAAAATATATTAATTCTACTTCCTTCTTTTTGTTGTTTTTCCGTCCACATGATATAGCAGTTAATGTGTTACAGTCTCCATATTAGTTAAGTTAGGTCTCAGATTTATTATGTAATTATGTAGATGTTACATGTTTACCTTGCTTTAAATCAGATTTCTTCTGTTAAATTCATGGTATATATGTCCAAGATCAGGGAAATATAAGCTCATACAGCAGGGAAAATGCATTTAAAAATCATATGTCACCTCTATGAAGGGCAATTTGGCAATGTCAACCAAAATTAAAATGCAAATAAATTTTTCCTAGCAATTGCACCTCAAGAGATTATACTAAACATAGAATCCCCCATGTGTGAAAGAGAAATATTCACGAATATTCATTGAGGCAATGTTTTTTAAGGTCAAAATATTGGAAACAAGGTAAAGTAATCATCAATAGAACATGGGATAAATTAGCATGTCTTTATGATAGGAGACTACACTGCCTCAAAAATTAATGAAGAAATTGTTTATTTGTGCAGAAATAGAAAGATCTTTCAGACAATAATATTTAGTTAAAAAAAAAAAAAAAACACCAAGGCAGAGTACTGTGCATTGTCTGCACATCCACAAAGGGAATTTAGAGAATTAGTACTTCTTCATGATTTGCAGCAGTGTATATATACCTGGAGATTAGGAATGATATTTTTTAGAATTCAAAATCTTGGAAGTAGAATAAAATGATGTTGAACTGTTGCCACTGTAGTGCTTCTCAGACTTGCCTCAAAAAACACTTCAAATATCTGAGGGCAGAAAGATGTTTCCAGGGAAATGGCAAGAGTCAAAGAAGTAATTCTGGAAGTACTATTTCTGACTCAGTGCAACACTATGAATGTCTAGTTGCTATCTCTGCTTCTAGTTCTGCCTTGTTCCACTGCACTCTCCACAGTGCTCCTGGGTCAGTTTCTAATTGTACACCTGAAAAACTCCCAAGCACACAGAGGAAAACAAAACCATGGTGCAGCCTGGATAGTCCTCTGTAATCGAGCTCTTGCCTGTGAGTTAGGATTCAGTGACTGATGACTGATAACATGTGCTTTCTGGAGCAGACTGATATGGATTTGAGTTCTGGCTCTAGTTCTCACTCTTCATTTTCACTTTCTCACCAAAATCCCCAGTGAGCCTTAACCAGGTAAGGTCTCCCAGCAGGGTGCCCAAACTTTATGTCTTTCCAGATTCACTTCTGATGACTCTGCTCTCTGCCATACCCTTAGCTAGCTTCTGGGGAGTCACCGAATCCCCCAAGAATTCTTTTAACTATAACTTCCCCCAAGACTTTCTTGTCTCACATATCACTTCTTCCTCTCTATTGCTTACCTACTTCCAGCTTGCCAAAGCTGTTGTTCACATGACATTTCATGACTTTCCCCCTTCCACTCAAAGCTTACACATTCTTGGAAAATGACAAGATTTTAATTAAAGTGTCCAAGGCAGAACAACTAGGGGGAGGAAGGTGAGAGAGTAGGGGAAAGGAAACTGGGAAAAGTGGCTTCTGGGATGTAGGGGGAGCCACTGGTTGGTACGGGCATTTACATTTGAGTTACTTACAAGCTGGGATCTTTTTGCATCACTCCTTTAATTAATTCTAAACCTAATTTCTATTTTAAGCATCATGTGCCTCAGAACTACTTGTGCTAGCAAAGAACAGTAAAGAGAGAAAAGATTTATATGATAAAAGCACATTAAGTTGATATGGATTTACTCAAAACATCTCTCTGTTAAAAAGTGACTGCTATTCTATTCTATTCTACTTTGATGTGTTGTATTTTTCATTGCTGCGGAAGTTTCAAACTTGCTCCCCTGAAAAGCCACTTCTTCTGGTCATTTACCATTTCCTGAATTGGACATAAATTATTGTTGGGTATAGGAGTGCTTCCTCTATTTCATCTGAATGGTTACTGCAATTTGAAAACTCCAAATTGTCCATGATGCCAAAAATCACACAGGCCTCCACAAGAGTTGGGCCTCCTTGTGTTGCTGGTAAGGTGAGAAATTCTTCCCAGGTGGGGCTGGTTAGTAACATTTGAAGTGATGGCACCAAATTACCTCTGTAGATGACCAGATATTTAGTGCTATTCATTTTATTAAATCCTTTCTTTTTTTAAATTGTGAAATAACACCCCAAATAAGTACATAAAATCAAATGTATGGTTTAATGACTAAAGCATGTAATTACCACTCAGAAATTGCCATTAACCCCATGAACCACCATATACTTATTCCCAGAAATGCCATTCTCCCTCTCATACAACAGGTAACCATCATCCTGGTTAAGTATAGTTTTAACACCTATGAATGCATCTTTAAGCAAACCAGTTTATTTGGATCTTAAGTTACGATTGATAAAATGAACTCACACTGCATATATTCTTTTGTTTCCTGCTTCTTTCCTATAACAATATGTTTGTGAGATTCATCCATGTGGTTTGCTGGAGGTCATTAATTTTCATCGATATTTGGCCAACTATTTTTACTAGTGCAGTATAATTGAGTGCTATCACGTTCTTGGTCAGGAAAGACAAGCCAATAAATATTGTGCATTCTTTCCTTCATTGTCTTCCTTTGATGTTGAATTTCACAATGCAATCCATCTGAAGACAGCCACAAAATAGAGAAGGAAATAGGCCATGAGATACTCACTAACAACATTGGCTTGCCCGGTGAATATGGTGTACTGAAGCTCATAGGAGACCACACTGAATTCATCATCAGAGGTCCAGTGGACAGTAATTGTGTCATATGAAGCCGTGCAGAGCTCTTCTCTGATTGTGGGAGGGTTGGGAGCTGTGGGGGTCAAGAGAGCTCATCAGTAAAGAACCAAACACCACTGGGATACCATTTTGGAGATGCTTGACTTAAATCAAACCTTTAAAAAATAAGCCCACCAGGATTACTATACTTAACATGGAAAAACTCAATCCAAAAAATATTCGGTTGGCTGGTTACTGCTTTTACTTTTAATAAGTAATGTGTCAAGAGCCAGTCAGTATGGATTTATGTCAGGTTATCATGGAAATATGTTTAGGAGATTTAAGTAGACAATACCTGAACATGAAGCAAGACATGTTAAAAAGTAGAACAGTTGTAGTTTTATTTTGTGTGTGTGTGTTGGGCAAGGATTCAGCTGGCAATTTTTTTTTTTTAGTAAATTGCCCAATGGTAAATATTTTAGGCTTTCTGGGTCAGACAATTGCTATTCCAACTACTCAACTCTGCTGTTGTGGCATGAAGCAGCTGTAAATAATTTGTAAACAAATGGGAATGACCAGATTCCAATAAAACTTTATTTACAAAAACAGGCAGGGGCTAGATTTGGCCTGTGACCCAAACTTTGGCAACCACCATCTACATGGTGCCAGATAGTTTTATATTTAGGCATCCGACAGGAAAAATGCTGATTTTTTTTCCTTTTAGAACTGGGGATTGAACTCAGGGGCACTCAACCACTGAGCCGCATACCCAGCCCTATTTTATATTTTATTTAGAGATAGGGTCTCACTGAATTGCCTAGCACCTTGCTTTTTGCTGAGACTGGCTTTGAACTTGCGATCCTCCTGCCTCAGCCTCTAGAACCACTGGGATTATAGGTGTGAGCCACCATTTATCATTCCTTAACAAATCAGACTAAAATAATTATATGTACATTTTCTTTATAAGATATCTTTATGTCTTATTTTTTTAAAAAAAATATTGGTACAGATGTATTTTCATTTCTCAATTTATGGGTGATATTTCAAATGCAGAAGACCATAATTAACAATCAATTGTACCTAAGAATATATATTTTCTTTCATAAGGAAAATGATTCCTTGGCATTTGGTTAACTTTATCACTGGGAAGGCCACTGCTTTATTTCTTTAACACATTCTCGAGGAGAGAAGTCTAAATCCTACCCAAACTGTGATTTTTAAATGACTTCCACTAGATTGATTTCAGTAACTGGTTTTATGAGAAGAGTATGTGAGTAAGAAAAAGACTAGGCAATGAGTGTTTTGAATTGGCCATAATATTTTAGAGAGGGGGTTGGCAAACTATGGCTGTGGGCCAAATTTGGCCCACTGCCTGTTTTTGTAAATAAAGTTTTATTGGAACACAGCCAGGCTTATTCAGTCATGTATTGGCTGTGGCTGCGTTCCCACAACAGCAAAGTTGAGTAGTTGTGACCATGTGGCCTGCAAGCCTAATACATCCACCATCTGGCCCATTACAACCAAAGTTAACTGGCCTTTGCTTTAGAGAATTGTCCAGGGCCCTTATTTCTGCTCTTCTGTGTACCAGAACCTGGCTTCAAATAGACAAACATGTGCTCATTCCATAGATCAGGAGCAACCTTAGCTTACACTGTTGCAGGGTTCTTCCTGCTCTAAATTCTGATTAGAATTAATGAGTCCTAAACAAATCCAAAGAGTGGAGAAAATTAATGGAAATGGCAAATTTGAAGTTTGTTTCAGTAGTCTTCACTTTGCACCTGAAATATATCCAGGACAAATGTCATGAGAAGCAAGGCTGGTGTATTAAGTCAATTAGATTAGCTTTGCCTGGTGGCTATTGAATTCCACAAACATCACTGAGCATCTACAATGTGGCAGGCACTGCATTAGGTTGTGTGGTAAGATAAGAGGGCTCTACATAACCCTTAGAACATTCTTTCTAACACATATATTTGTACACCTGTCTCCTGAAGTATCCACATGTAAAATTTAGCATCATGGGGTGGAACTTGGATGTTCATGAATCAACCACACCAATCATGAGATGCATTCCCTGTAGGCCCAGCTGCATCGTAAAATTATCATCTGTGTGGTCCTGTTCATGTGGGATCACCCCTACTTGGATCAGTGAAGAAATACATATTCTTTCATAATTTAAACAGTTTGTTAAATTACTTCTCCATCAACCATTGTACAAAGATTCTGTTCTTTCCATATTGTAATATGTGATTAAATATAAAGAAAATGTTAGTTCAAAATAGGCAAGTAGCTGTGAGACACATGGCAGTAGCCGCAATCAGGAAGGAAATGTCACCTCTACGGGTTATTAACTTGACATACCACTTAAAGGCATGTCATAGGGGAAAAAAATCTTGTTTTCACAGCCAGGCAGGCTAACCCTGTTTTGATTGTAAACCCAATGGGTTTGTCCTGAAAAGTCAATATCCAATTTACTGTAAATGAGAACAGCAGCATGCTGCCAATTTCAATACCCACAGAATCAGTACCAGAACTGTTATTTTCTTGCCTTCATCACAAACACCATGCAAGAAATGGCAGGCTAATACTCTACAAACACTTCACTTCCTGCTTATAAATGTCTGATAAACTATTTGGACTCGGCAATATCAGCCAAGCATCATATGTTATGACCAGGATTGATGTTATGTCTAGAAATAGACTGAATTTGTACTTGGGGTTGACAGCTCTGAAGGCATAATACCAGGTACCCAGCATGGCCTTTGGTTTGGCATAAACAGTTATTGGCATGATATATGGTGTGCATGTTACAATTCAATGAAGACTCCACTCAGTTTCTCCTTTAATCAATACTTTTGCCTGACTAGTAGAAATTAAAATGGACATACAGTGTTGAAATATTATTAATTATTGGGAAAGGAGCAGGACACATTTGTCAATGGGACCCTGATCTGGGGCAACATACCCATGTGCCCAGGCAAATATTTAACTTTTCAGTCTTCTCTGACTTTGATGAACTTGTAACATGGATCTGGCCCAGGAGACATAGTTTTCTAGGTGAGTCTTTTGAGCAAGATTCTTGTTTTTCTGACAAAGACAAACTTGACTGGCAGAGCTTTTTGTCCATCATTCCCCTAAGGATACTGTCTTTTTGCTTAGAACTTCAACATATTGATTGGAGGGGGTCACATTATAGTCATGTGGCAAAAAAAAAAAAAAAAAAAAAAAAACCCAAAAAATAACAAAATGGAGACCCCAGAGCCAGAAACCAGAAAAAGTCTGGTGTCTGAAGTCATCAGCAAGCCACTTCCCAATCCTGGACTGTATGCCTCTATTCTGTTTCTCTCATACAAGCACTCATTGATGGGTTTAGAAACTGCCAGCTGGGTTTTCTGTTGCATGAGACCAAACTCATTCCTAAATGATAAGAGAAAAGGGGTGTTTTGACCAGAATGCCATAATGAAAGCAGTTCAGTAGCCACAAGCTACACGGGGCTGCATTAATTCTAATTGAATTTAAATAAAAAGTTAATAAAAGTAACAATTTTCTAGGTACATTTCAAATTTTCAATAGTCCCATGTGCCTAATGTCTAATATTTTGGATAGTGCAGATATAGAACATTTCTACCATTGTTCTATTGGTGGGGGGTGTTAGTTTCAATAAATCACAGAATTAAAACTAAAAAATGGAGGGTACTATATTCATAAATATTTTAAACCAAGTGTGGTCCCTTACTGCAAATGTTTTTTGAGTTGATTTCTTTCTTCCTTCACACGAATGGTAAGTTTGAAAGAGAATTATATAAAATAAGAGGATACTTGTGGGATGACTTGCCTACCTTGCAAATGCAGAAAAAAGCTAAAAACAGCACGTTGAGTTTTCACAAGGAAAAACTGATTTTCCAGGTATAATGCTCCTTGAATATAGACTCCTAGCTTTACTACCCACAGACTATAAAAATAAACACTACACAACGTCCCCTCTCTCCTGCTCTATCTTTCTAGACCACTTTCCCACAAACATGTACACACAGGACTGGAGTTAAGAAACTGACACCAGGCTCAGTTAGGGATGTGGTTTCTGGAAGGCCACATGTCCTAAGTGCAGTACACATCTGGCTTAACTGTGTACCTTGTGCTTTCCTGAAGGCACAGGCCCTGGTGGCTTTGGCTAACACAAATACTGTTGTCTGAAGAGTCCATATTGTTTTTACCAGTGTTCTCTTAGTTTCTGCTTTAGAGGACAACAGCAAAGAAAAGATTAGATGCACTGCTAAGAATAGGAAAAGCCCTAGTTTTCTTCTTCTATTGTTGTTTTCTAAGCTTGACCAAAAATTTGCCATGGTAAATTTGCCAAAATAAAATTTGGTCTTTTTTTTTTTTTGGGGGGGGGGGTCTTTTCTTTATCAGTGCTGGGGATTGAACCCAGGGCTTCATGCATGTGAGACAAAAGCTTTAACACTAATCTACATCCCAGTCCCTGAAATTCATTCAGTATTTTACTAGAAAGAGAAAAGGTCTTAGGCATCTGTACAGACCTGAGCCAAATTCTAATTTTGCTACTCCCTCCCTATCAGATCTCCAGCAAGATGGCTGACTATCATCATGTCCAAAAGAAGGATTATAACATTTTACATAAATTCAACATTGTGAAGGTGGCAAATACAGAGAGCTGGAGCAGGGTGGATACCTAATTAGTTATTTACTATTTTTCTCACTGCTAACATCCTGGGAGAGTCAAATGCTTTCCTAACATGAAATGAAATATACTTATAAAACTTATGTAATACTTATGTCTTTTTGATGGTCATTAGACATATTTATTTTAACACCCCCACATTGAGAGGGAAATAGTAGTAAGTATGCTTTTAATGATCGAGATTCTCTTTTCTCTCCTGTCCTCAACTAAGTCTTGGGCTCTGTTGTTTTGGTTATGAAAAAGAGTGCACAGAAATTGTTCCTGGAAACAGTATTCCTACCTCAAAAGCACACAACTCTGGTTTTCAGGAATCACTGATCTTGTGGCAAAGTGTATCACTGAAAGTAACAATATTAAACAGAACACAAAAGATAATACCTGTAAGGTAATCCAGACATTCCAGCAATTTCTTCTCTCGGGAAAAATCTAAGGCAAAGGTGTCAAATGTGTCATTGAGGTTGATTTCAGGAATTAGGACCTGAGAGGATGCAGTTGCCATGGAGACTCTGTAATTTAAACAAAACAACTTTTTAGAGATGTCAAGATGGTTTTCACCATCACTGTGGAGGCATTTAAAAAAAAATAAAAGGAAAAGAAATACGATTCTTTTGAAAGTGCCTTCAGAAGAATCTAGATGGCACAACACAGGAACACAAAGAAATTGAATGCAAGCTTAAAAAAAAAAAAAAGCAAAGGAATTGGGAAAAACAACAGACTGCCTTCCACCTCTTCCTTTTTACTATCGGAAAAAAAAAGTCCCTGTGGAGGTGAAAGAATATTCATATTTCATGTTGCTGTATATTTAACAGCCTGGCCCCATCACATTGAGCCAAGCAAGAAGCACATTGCTTCAGGCAGTTCTTCACACATCTGTCTGGGAAGCTGTTTGTTCCTTTCAGGCGCGCCCCTGCTCTACTTCAAAGGGGAGTCTCCAAAATTTCAAACTGCATAAAAGGCAAAGTGAAGATTAAAAAAGAATGTTTCCAGATATTGGATTAGTTTAATCAATTACTAGCCTCTCTCTAAAATAAACATTAAAAAAAGTTTTCGTCTGGCTCGTTTTCATTCTCCTTGTATTCATTTTTTTGCACCATATTCCCAGCAGATGCCATGGAAAATATTCATAAGCTTTCTCACAAATTCCCCCTGTGGATGCACTGTTTCTCCTTCTCACTTAGGCTTTCTGGTTAGTTCTCTTGTAAGAACTATAAAGCAAGGAAGGAATTGCTATGTATCAGTCACCTATGTGTCCTGAAATTGATTTGGAAAGTTCAGATATTAAGAGCAGAACATTTTACCTGGTTCAAAATGCAAGGGATTCCCTTAAAACCAAGAAAACTTTGGCCTGAAGTATACTACCTCTGAGTGATCAAACTATGCTGGACTTGTGATTTTTCTGAGTTGGTCATTTTGTTAAATTCTGTCAACATTAGGGCACTGGGAGTTTTTGTGCAAAGAAATGACTTTAAAATGATTTAGCTCTTAATATAGTTACTTATTTTCAAATAAATATCACTGATGCTCATTTATACAAGGCCACAAAGCTGGTGACACCCAGGAGAAGTTTGAGTCTGTATTCTTCCATTTAATCTAGAAATTTTTCAACCCAGTTACCTTCCAAGGGTTATATATTGTCTCGAGGAATACTATTTAGTCTTAAAAAGGAATGAAACACTGACATATATACATCATGGATGAACCTTGAAAACACTGTGCTTAAAAAAGCTAGACACAAAAGATCACATACTGTATGATCTATATGCATGAAATGTCCAGAATAGGCAGATCATTAAATTATATACTTTACAAAGGTTAATTTGCAAAATGTGAATTTTACCTCAATAAAAACAGAATACACTTGTGAAATGCTCAATATTCTTGGAAATACAGTTTCTACAGTTGCATTTCTGGCACATTTTCAGTGTTAAATAGGGAGGGAAGAGGTTAATCAGTAATGTCATAATTGGAATGCTATCAGAATCCATAGATAAACTAATGCTAAAGAGAAATAAACACTGGGAAGTTTCAAGTATATGAATGAGGGTGGAGAACCTAACTTTACCTCCTGATGGGGGTTACAAAAAGTAGTGAATAGAAGGGCTGTATGATTTTGCTGACTAAATATTGCACCTAAGTGAATTACGCTAATTATTGACACCAACAGCTGTTAATTTAGACTGATGTGTATGGGGCTGCTGCTAGTCAAACTACTTTCAACAAATAGTCAACAATCATTTATAATGCCATTAAAGTATCTCACATACTGAAAAGTCCAAGCCATTTGCATCAATACAGAAAAGTCAAAAGATCTGTTATTAGTACTCGCCCCCCCTCAAAAAAAATTTCAAGGGAAAAGCTCTAGTTTATCCTGTTTTATAAACTCTAACAGGGAAAACTGCACTAAGCTATTAGGAAACAAGCACTGAACTTCTGATTGCAATGCTTTGCTGCTTGATGTGGCAGTTTGTGCTAAACAGGTTCGAGATTGCTCTGAACACAGATAACCTGGCTTTGAGATTTCTCTGCTCAATGGCTGAAGCCACTTGTTCAGGCTCATCCCAAATAGACTTTGTTCCCAAGTTTCTCCTGGTCCTATGGCCAACAAACAATTAAATAAAGCATGTTTTTGTCAAATGACATGTTTAAAACAGCTGTCATCTTGATGGTGGGAACCAAAAGAATTAAAGTGCCTAGCCTGGGAGGCAAAGACTGACAACAAGAATCTTTGGAGATTACTGTAGCTTTTAACACCTACATTTTTTTTTCCTTGATGGAAGAAGGAAAGATATTTATCTTTGGCAACAATTTCAATTTTTTAATTGGAATGACAGTCAAAGAGGAAATCTGCCAAATGCAATATTGTAGGTCATGTTTTTATTTCTCAAATCCTTAATACCCATCTTCTTGCCTTTTAGATAAATTGCCAATATCCACCAAGGGCACTCAGGCTGTGCCACTTCCTCAGTTCTTTAAAGTCCTTAAATTCCTAGTGCACGTGTGTGCACATGTGCGTGCACATACACACACACACACACACACACACATGTAGGGGTGTGTGTTAAACTCTTCTTAACATATTGGAGCAAAGACCTTGTGTCCCATCATGATGCATAGAAGGTGAGTTGCACATTACTCCCTGTTTCTATTTCTGCTTTGATGTCCCTAATCCATGACACTTAGTTATTAGTGACTACATGGGGCCAGTTTTCCAAAAGGTCTATGTGTCTAGAGCTATACTGTTCACAGGGCTTCTGCCTAACAATGCACATCATCATGGTAAAACCCAGTGAGGTCTCACAGTAAGACAATGTGTTCTACTTTGGTTAGTTTAGGAATTCCCAAACACATTTGGCCCTGTAACTTTCCTATTGTCATAACCTCTCAACATCTTGCAACTACACTTCAAATCCAATGCACAAGATATGCTCTAATTTTTAAAACGAAGCAATGTCTTTCCAGAGTTGACAAATGGTGTCCTTAGCTTTATATTCTGGAAAAGTCTGACAAATTTTTGAACTGCCTGTGGCAGATCACCTTGTGCTAGAGAACCTCTTAAGTGTTCTGAAAAATGGATTCCTTTCAGAGAGAATTTTCATTTCACCATCCTTTTGATACACATAATTTGTGATTTTAATTTTAGATTCTTTATAAATGGTAAATCAGCTTTCTTATGCTTGGATTTACCAAACAGTTTTGCTCATTTAGTATGTTAAAAGATGTCTATAAAATCACATCAAAGACATATATATTAATGAATCTATATGTATTAATGAATGTATAACATACTATAGTATATTGTACATTCTATTTGCATTCATCTAGTGAGTGGGAGGAAGGGAATTAGTATTTATTGCATGTTCACTTTGTAACAGGAACTGGACTAATGCTTTTACCATGTTATTTCATTTTATCCTTACAACAACGGGCCCTGTTTACACATCATTCTTTCATTCACTCGTTCATTCACATGGGGAAGTTTGCAATGTGCTGGGGTTATAATAGCCATAATAAGCTCACTAGGATTCCTGCCCACTTGGAACATATAAGCAAAATTAGACTCAGAAGTGTTAATGAGCAGTTCCACTGCTATCCATAATTACTAAGCAATTAGCACAGTGCCAAACAGTTAATTCCAAAGCATATGCATCTCCTACAATGTAAAGCTTAAGTGTCTCTGTCTGTCTGTCTGTCTGTCTCTCTCTCTCTCTGTTTCTGAATTTTAGCCTATAGGAGAACATCTACTTTAACTGAAGTAATGAGGTTGAAAAACCTCATATAAGTCTCATTTTAAGAATGCCTGCAGGATTTGAAGTTTCTTCTGGGTGCCATACTTGAAGAATGAAGATGATTTGGAAGTATACAGGAGCCAAAACCCAAGACAGACACAATAGGAGACAAAACTAGGAAGTCATGTTGTAAAGAGGCATGTTAATCAGCAGGCTGAAGAACAGAGGCAGCTAGACAGAGAGCAGCATCGGAATAAAGACATAACAGGAGGGCTCAGCTGACATCAAAATATGAAAATATACATCTAGCTAGCATTGATGTAGTGTCTATGATGCTTAAGGCCTGTTCTGAAGGGATTTCAACAATATTATCACAATAGAGATAACTAATATGAACCATTTTCTAACTACAAAAGAGCTCCAAAGAACCATATTTAAATAGGGGCAGTAATGGGAGATTTGAACTCAGTACTCCCCACTTCTTATCCAAGCCTAGTGCCCTTTTACTACATCACAGTTGCTTCAAAGAAAAAGCCTCAGAAATGAACCAAGGAGGTTGATAAATGAGAGATGGGAAGACAGGAGACTACAGAAATAGGGACAAGGGCTTCCAGCAGATTTTTATAGGCACTGTGGACTCAAACTCTAGAGAAGCATACTCTTTATGGAAAAAGAAATTCAAGTCATGTTTCCATTTCTGATAAGTTGGGCTTGTTTACAACGGAGCTGAATGAGACCAGACATGTCTCATCAGAATGGAAGGCATTCATGCACCCATTCATGTGCTTATGCTATGCTTCAAATGCAGGCCTTCTTTTAGCATTACTCTTAGAGGGTCAATTCTCACCCAACTGCTGGTGAGAATTTATTCATGTTTCACATGGTTAAATTTGGAGGGATTGCTGAGGAATGCAGCTCAGAGTAGCCATGTTATCTGGACATGTCCCTGGTAGAGAAATGGTCTTTTGGATCCCAGTTGGGAATCTTGACCTAAGTATAAATGCTATCTATATTACGGTGTTCCGGGTACACTGGAATATTAAAGCTGTTTAAAGTTTTTAACTTTAGGAAGAAAGATGAGCAATTAATTGGATGTGGTCCAGATGACAGCAGTGCAAACAATTAAACATTTGGAACCTGGGAGTCAGAAGGAAAGAAACTGGGCTCTCACAGTGGGGAGGACAGAAAATGGATAATAGCCAGCTGTTATCCATGTTCTTTAGAAGAGATACATATCTAACCAGCTGCAAAAAGAATTCTTCTCAAATATAAGAAATAACACAGTTAAGCTAGTAGACCAGAGTTGCAAAAATACTGTTCACTGATCTTAAAGAACAATGAAAATGGAATTGTCAATGCTTACCTCTAGATGATATTTTGAGAATCGGCACAATGCTCAACACATGCAAGCACTTAATACATGTTAGCTTTCTTTCTCCTTTGAAGAAATTCAAGTTATAAGAGGGTGAGTATGGGACTGGGTTTATAGCTCAGTTGGTACAGTGCTTGTCTAGCATGCACAAGGCACTGGGTGCAATTCCCAGCACAAAAAAAAAAAAAATGATGGTGAGCATGCCCCCTCACCAGCCATGGGCTGGCAAAACAGAACCTGTAACCTGTTTGGTAAATTGTTTTACTGACATACAGCCATGCCCATTTGTTTCCATATTACCTCTTGCTGTTGTGAAGTTATACTGGCAGGGTTTACTAGTTGTAACTTAGACCTTATAACTCACAAAGCCAAAAAATTCTTATTCTCTGATCCTTTACAGAAAAAGTTTGCCAATCCCTATTTTGGAATAAACACCAGCATGAACAAGCTCTCTGGGATATTTTAGTGATAGGATTCTATTATTATTTTGCATAAAGGGCAGTTACCTCTGAAAATGAGAATGAATGAAAAGTCAAGGCCATTTCATTGCTCAGAAATGTCATTACATGGTGTTAGTTTTACTCAATCCAGTCTAGATCATCTCTATGGATCCAATGGAATTACTAGAGGTGTTTGCTTGCCATCCATGGAGATGAGTAATTTTTATGACAATCAAGTAGGTGTAGGAAATGAATACTCAACCTTGCCAGTTTCACAGCTGAGCTGACCACTGAGTAAACATCACTTTATAGTTCCCTCCCCTGAAATAGAAGGTATTTTAAAAGAAGACAGGATGAGGTTGACTGATTGGCCCTCTCTCTTCCATATGAGTCAGCCTTGACCTTTTCAGGTGAGGCCAAGCTTCTGAACCAAGTAAAAACAGGCCTCACACAATGACACCTGTGTGATGTTTTTTCAGACAGATGCTGAAGAGTGCAATAGAAGATAAGATCCCCTTTTATGCTTCTGCCTTCATTTTGTTTCTTTGTTACCAAGTGCACAATGAGATAGGGACTAAGATTCACAAGAAATGCTATTCATGTGCCATCAAAAGCTCCCCCTCAAAAAAAGAGGTTGATTTTATTCTTTATAACTGGTGGACTCTTGTTTCAAAGTCCTTGAATACTGAAAGGGCTGACATGTCAAAGGGAAGCATCTTTGGCTGGAGTGAAAGAGCTTGAAACGTCTATTGTCTCTGTTCCTCAACCTTGAAAAACAAAAGCACTGAGAGAGCAAGACCAGCCAATCACATCCCATATACAAGGGATCAGCAGCCCAAGAACCTCACACTGGACCCCTAAACTTACCTCTCAGTGATATTCTTAGCAGTCTGTAGGAAGCGGGCATGATCATTCTCCTTCAGAGAGTGTTCTGCTTGGGAGATGAGGGATGCTGACCGCTCAATGCACTGTTTGCAGTTTGCAATCTGCTGAGCCAGTTTGCGAAGCCTCATCACCTTGAACAAAAGAGACAAGGACACATATGGTTACATGGTAAGCGCTTCCAGTGAAAAGGCACCAGACTGGACCATTGTGATGTGTGTGCTCTATAGTATGTAAGCCATCTTTCTATAAAAGTTCAAAAGTAAGCATAGAGATAGCAAAATCAGGTAAAGCCCAGTCATGGAACTCTTGTTAGAGATATACTTTCTCTTCTTGGAGAAGTGTTGCTAATTCATTTTATGAGGAAACACTGAATTGCTAATTGCTTCCCTGTTGATGGGAAAAAAAGGTGTTACCCACTGTCAAATTACAAAGGGTCATCAGATCTCTTCCCTCCACTATTCCACACAATTACTCCAAGAACATAGGGAACTCTGGAAGTTTATTTCAGGTTTTCTTCTGTTCCATTAAGAAAACAAAACAGCTCTATAGGTGCAAATTTGAGGCTTTAGCAAAAATCATTTTCTAGAAACTTCTTTGTAATTCATGTAATAAAATTGTGATATAAATGCATTAGGTATTACTATTTCCCACTCTACCTAAAACTCATGTATTAAATTAACAGAAAGGGAGCATTTTTCCCATTGATTAATATTTTTCCTGTTGAGCAGATGAGAGAACGCCAAAAAAAGCACAGCTGGGCCATTTCCCCTCGCTGGGAACGTCATTTCCAGGCACTTTGTGCTTACTTGATAACTAAGAACTATTTTGATAAGCATTTCCCAGTTGGGATAAAAATGCATATTTGCTTCACAACCTCCATTCCAATTCCCGATTCTGTCTTGCTTGAAAATGACTCTCAAACGTAATAGACCATAACCTCCCAGGCAGGCCAAGATAAGTCCAAGGTAACCCACTTGACCGTCACTCTGGTGCTTGAAATGTGCTGTGAGATGAAGCCCTCTGGCCAGAAGCCAAGTTAAAATTAGACCACTAATTGGAATTGCCGTGTGCCTAGTGCCCCCATCTACACACCCGGGGACAGATTTTGGCTGGCTTTATGATAATTCCGGAATGGAAAATAGCCTTGGGTGAAAGGGTAGGGAGGAGGCCGGTTAATCTGTCTTGCAGACAAGGCTGGCTCAGGCTCCCTCCAAATTCCTGCTAACTCCAAGAAATTTCTTCTTTCTCCAAGTCATCATTATCATCCCCGGACAACTCTAATCGAAGAAAAGGAAGGAAAGAGATGTCAGAACTCTAGGCCTCTAAGGAACATCCAATTCCAAGTATGGACTACAGCAAACAAAGGAAATTCATGCTGAATTGAGAGGCACCAGGCACAAGATATCAGGGTGAGAAAAATTCCTGAAAGTAAAGAGTCAAAGATTGAAATGTCAAAACTTTGGGGCAAATACTATGTGATCTTGAGCCTGGTAAAAGACATAACATTATGATTGTTGTTACTGTCCCCAGAACATTATCTGTGTACCTGGGTTGAATAAAATGACACTTATTTTATACCAAATAGAATTTAGCTTTTGTCATCCTTATACCCACAGGCAAACCCAACAAGGCATCCACTCCAATTCAAATTATTGAACACACCTATTAGAAACTGACAGAGGCAAGAAAAATTCCATGAGGAAAAATAACTTACAGTGCCTAGAATAAACCAAGTGCATGGAATACTTAATTACATAACATAAAGAATAATTTAAATTACATGGCAAAATAGAAGATATTTGATACAATTCTAACAAAAGAAAGCAAGGTTGAAATATTCCTGTAGAATAATTTCATGCCAATCATTTATCATTTGGATATGTCTGAGAAGATGACACAGATTACAAATGTGAATGACTGCACTCCAGTTTCATCATTTTCTTCTTCTATCATGATACCAGAAAAAGCCCCAAATCATGCATGGAAACAAAACAAAAATAAGAGCCTCCTATGAAAATACCAGAATGTTCTACAAAGAACGATTTGGGGCTAATCTTAGCTATACATTAGTGCACAGTTCCATCTCATATATGACGGACGATCAGAGCTTCTCAAGCACTGTGCAAAAGATGAGTTAGGGATCTTTTCCAAAGAAAAACTGTAGATGTTTGGGCAAATCCTCCAATATTTTAGTTAAGGAATTGTAATTGGCAGAGCGGCAGGAATTTGCATTTTAACAAACAGTGAAGGTTTATTAATAAGCAGGAGATGAATAAATAATATGGTCAGAACTAACATTAAAAAATAAAATAGAAGAAAATAGCAGAGCATATTTCTGGTGGAAAAGGCAAGTTGCATTTTGTAAAACATATGTCATGTGTGTTTTACACTTGATTGTGATACCATATGTATTTCTTATGTGGGTTACATTATAAAAATGAGAAATTAAAAACACTGCTCAAAGTTAGGTGTTCACAAATATGGTGTATGGACCAAATCCAGCATCAAGACTGTATAAATAAAGTTTTATTGGCACACTGTCACATTCTTTTGTGTAGGAATCATCTGTGGCTGCTTTCATGTTACAACATTGCCAGAAGTAAGTTGCTGCAACAGAGACTACATGGAAAAACCAAAAGTATTTATTAGCCCTTCACAGAAAAAGTTAACTAACTCCTAGCATAAATGATTCTAGTCAGATGGCCCTGACTCAAACCCATTCTGAAACCCTGTGCTACACGCTACAGCACTTAAAATTCTAACATAGAGCACTGAGCAAAATACTTAATTTTTCATTATACAATACTTTTAATATTTTAGAAATCTGACAACATGAATAAAATCTGGTAATTTAAAAGAAATGTTAGACCATGACACATAAGAGTCTACATATGCAAGTATCAAAGCCAGGGGGGAAATTTTTCAGCTGACTCTATCCCTTTTGCCTTTAAAAAGTGAGATTGCCACATTGTAACTTTTGAATTTCACTCTATACTCATCATGGAAATATTCTATTAGAATCTCCTTGTAACCAGGCATAGGCCTATTGATATCATTCTATTTTTGGTTTATTATACCTTACACACTGTTTTAAAAGCAGACTTAATTTGCTTTAAATGCATTTTAAATTATTTTAATATGTGCTTTTGTACATTTGTAGTATACACACCCCCAAATAGCTATATGCAATCAGCAAGTCCTCTCAGTTAACAGGACTACCTGAATTGACCATGAGAACTGGACTTAGCACCGTTTTAAGGCCATAAACAATATGACCATTTAGTCCAAGTGAATTCTCTTAAATTATGGAGAATTCGAGTACATAAAGGCAGTGCAACGTGTTTGCACGTTGAAAGAACTCACTTCCTTGGGAGTTTGTTGTGTCTTGACAAAAAATTCACCCTTGACTGCAGAGTAGAAGCAGCAGCATCTTTATCAGGGAGTCTCATGCGTAGCCTGCAGACTAAGCAGTCTACACCCCCATACAGGCTAGGGAGCTCTTCCAAGAGCATAAAGCAGCAGTATATACTGATGTGCTCCACTATCACCTGCTGGCAACTTCCTTCACCTGCCCATTTCCAAGTGCTTGTCAAAGGGCCCCACTGTCCCTGCTCCTGACTCAGTGACCAGACTGCCCTGCAACTGCCCTGGGCTGCAGGGACCCACCCCACAGAGGGCCCCAGGTCCACACATGGCCTCCCTCCCTGGCACCTCAGATTTCCAGGGTGTTGGCCTTCCCACCCTTCCTCTTGGAAACATGCTTGTGATGCAACATAATGTGACCAGGGACTCAGATCACTGTGTATCCCAGGCTTTGGAGTCAACTAATCCTTGCTCATGCATCAAAGTATTAACCCAAGGGAAAGCCAAACTGTGCCCTCCTCCTTTCCAGTAACATCTGCCACATAATACTGCCTGCTGAGATAATGTCTCCAAGCAAATGGACACTTCAAAAAGTGTACAATTTTAAACATACAGAAAAAATTTAAAGTAATATGATAAACTATCCCGAATGTACTACCAAATCTCAGTATTGTCATAATACCAGCATCAAAATTTTGAAGAGAAGGTAACATCATCAATGGCATTAATGCCCCTGTGTGGCCCTTTCTAACCTCATTCACATCTCTCCAAGAGAAAAGAGCTCCTGAATTCAGAGCTGCTCACCCAAGACACTTGTGCTTAAACACATATAGGATTTGGGGGTTAGCTTATGAAATCTTATGTAACTCTCCCTATTGTATACAAATCATTATAAGATTTGTTTATGACTTTGTGATTTGTCAACGGTAATTCATATCACTGTAGTTCATTAATTTTAATTTCTGAAGACTTTCACTACATAATTAAAAATCTGTGTCTTATAAAGACAACTTTATTGAGATAACTGACACGACATTGCAAATTTGAAAATTTGAAAAATTTTCCAATATGTATATTCCCATGAAAGAGTATGCTGGTGCCTAAAAAATTCCATTACATTTTTGGAGGTTCCTAGTGCTATGAAGTTTTCCCTTTGACAGATAGGTGATTGTTCCGATGTTTTAATCTTTGATTTATGATTTCTTGTTTTAATGTTTGGTCTCAGAAGTCCTTCTTAACCTGAGAGTATATACACGGTTTCTATTAAACATAGTTAAAATAATGTCAATATTTTAGGTTTGGGAGACTACATAGTATCTCTATCACATATACATTTTTTGGTTTTATTTTTGTAAACAACCTTTCAAAAATGGAGGAAACTCCATTTTTAGGAGTTAGGCAATGGGTTGTACTTAGCTGACACCTGTTTTTATTGGGGTGGGGGCTTCTTTAATTTTTATTCTGTTGTGCTTTTTCTAACTTGATTTGAGAGCTCATTCCTTTTAATATGTTTTCTTTGTCTTTTGTAAAGAATCGAAGGCAATCACTTTGCATTCAAATAACTTTTGGCTGCTTATTGCTTATGACATACAGCCTGTCATTGCAGTACATTTCTGTGGTTGAACTGAGGGACTCATGCATGCCAGGCAAGTACTCTTCCACTGAACCACATCCCTAGCCCTCATTGTGGTGCATTTCTAAAGTTGTTTTGAAAATGTATTTATTAGTACATTATAAAGTTTCCAAACATTGTAAAAAACATTATTTTCACTGCTGACAGTATCTAATTCATTTCACTGTGTGGTCTTAGAGGAGGGGTTATATGGTGTTCAGTCTTGAAAATTTGCTTCCCTTCCAACCAAGTATGAGACATTAAAAGAAAAAAAAAGAGATACATCTCTAGCAACTTGGGGGCGGGGGCTGAGGCAGGAGGATTGCAATTTCAAGGTCAGCCTCAGAAATTTAAGAAGGCCCTAAGCAACTTAGTCAGTCTCTGTTCAAAATAAACACTAATGAAAAGGGATGGGGATGTGGCTCAGTGGTTGAGCATAGGAAGGAAGGGAGGAAGGAAGGAAGGAAGGAAGGAAGGAAGGAAGGAAGGAAGGAAGGAAGGAAGGAAGTCAATGTCCAATGTGCTGGGCATGGTCATATATGCTTATAATCCCAGCAACTTCAGAGGCTGAAACAGGAGGATTGCTAAGGTTAAGGACAGTTTCAACAACTCAGACCCTCAGCAACCTAGTAAGAACCTGTCTCAAAATAAAACACAAAAAAGGTTGGTAATATATATAGCTCAGTGGTGAAGCACCCCTGGGTTCAATTCCCAATACTTCCCACCAAAAAAAAAGTCCCATGTGAAGTTTATATATTACATATATACTTTCCTAGTTTTTGAGTGGAAAAATCAATGGGCATCTGCCATGCTTTAATGCCACTCAGTCTCATTTATGCCTTCTGTATTTATGGGATTCCTCAGGTGGATGTCAAAACTCAGTTTCCAAATTTCTTTTAGAGCTGTTTTTTTTAAAATTCAAGTTTATTTTCAAAACATGTTTACTTTCAAAACTTCTAGTTTGCTGGCTTTGATTTTATTTTTTCTAATTTCATGGTTTCACTTTTTTCTTTGCTTTTTTCGCTTCTTTTATTTTTGTTTTCTTTTTCAGTTTTTCTTTGCTTTTTTAAAAGTTATTTCTTCATTTATCCCTTTCAAATATTTTAAAACTATATCTTTTAAAGTATTTTTGTATTCTTCCACATAACTAATTTCCTCTGGAATAAGATAATAAGATTACTGTATTTGCTTTGGAATTGGGTTTCAGTTTTGAATGGGAGAAGTCATGTATGATTCTTTGCTTTCTCGTTCTTCTTGATCAGGCTGCCCTATCTTGACAGTTTCACAGTTGCCCTCTCCCAGTCTACAGGACATTCAGGAGTCTTATCTCTTTGTTTCTGAGGTTCCTGCTTTGTGAGATATCAGAAAGAGCATGACACAGGCCCCAACCTAGCAACTGACTTGTCCCATAGTTCCAGACCTGAAGTTTGTTAAAAGCTATGACACTAGGCAGAGGTTGGCAATAATCTTTTTCAGTTCCTTTTAATGATCTGAGAAGCCTTCGAAAGCCAGTGAGTAGCATTAAGCAATGATTTCAGTCCCAGTCCTATCTGGGGCACTTCTAGATCCTTTCCCCCAAATCATCAAGAATGACTTAGTGGGGTTGGGGTTGTGGCTCAATGGTAGAATACTCACCTGGCACTTGTGAGGCACTGGGTTTGATTCTTAGTACCACATAAAAATAAATGAAATAAAGGCATTGTATCTATCTACAACTAAAAAAATTATTTAAAAAGTATGACTTAGCCATAAGGGTTAAAACTGTACCTGCTTCAGCCTTTTCCAGACCAAATGATGCTAGCCTGTGTTAGCCACAGTCAGGGCTTTGCACTATTTTTATCCCATTTCTGTCCCATGGAGATACTTGTCTTGTTTCAGTCCAGCTATCTCGCTTTGCTTTTCTATTTTATTATGTTCTCTACCAATGTCAAGGGGTTGGGGTAGGGAGAGTGCACCAAAGCAAGTGCCGGCACCATCATGGCTAAAACGGGGACATCCTTCACTACTGTGAGATAAACTGAGATATGAGATAAACTCTCATAGTTCAAATTATGCAAGGGCAAGGCAGGCATGCTGACTGGAAAGTTGTGTATGCCATTGCAGGCCAAATACAGGATCCTCAAAAATGTGCACTGCAATCTTTGAATACATTACCTTACACAGCCAAACAGACTTTGCAAATGTTATTACATTAGGGATTTGGATATTGGGAGGTTGTCTTTGATTATGTAGGAGATTTCAATGTAATCACCAAGGTCTTTATTAAAAAAACAACAACAACAAAAAAACAAACACAGGGAGGCTCAGGTCCATGAAGAAGGGAGGAGGGAAACAGAGGTCAGAACAAATTGTGGAGCCAAAAAATAAGAATGGCCTGAATGAGCTCAGAAAAGGCAAGGAATTGGTTCTCCCCCAGAGTCCCCCAAAAGAAACAGTGCTGCCAAAATCGTGACTTTAACCCAGTGAGACTGACTGTGGTCTTCTGAATTATACAACACTAACATAATAAATCTGAATTGTTTTAAGCCAACAGCATGGTAATTTAGAAACTGATATGAATAGAGTTCTAAGCCTCAACGTTGACAGGAGTAATGAGCTTGTTTGTTTTGTTTTTTTAATTTGAGAGAGATTGCTTAGCTTGAACAGTAAATAATAACGTAGTGTTCATTTCAAAATTGCTAAAACGTTAAATTTCAAATATTCATACCACAGAAAAATCAGTATGAGGTGATGGATATGTTAATTAACTTGGTTTAATTATTCCACCTTATGCTCATCAGTCATAACATCACCTGTACTCCACAATACATATAGTGACAATTTACCTATTTACAATTAAAAATTGAAAACAAACTAATATAAGTATTGAGAGATGATCCCTTTTCCATGCATACTAATTATTATAATTAGTTGAGGCTGAACATCAGGCATCCAGGCATCTGAGAACCTAGAAGGTGTAAGAAATTAAGAGATGTGCCCATGTGGTACATGACAATGATGGAGAGGAAAAAGTACCCTTTAAGGATTCCAGGTGGACACTCAGTGCTCATATCCACTGGACAGTCAGAGTGTTTAGGAAAGTAGCTTCCAGCCCAGGTGAGACCTATTGGCCAGGGAATATTGTCATGTCAATCTGTTAATTCACTATAATAGCTTCAAGATCAATTAACTTGACTTTAATTTTTTGATTAGCATTATAATTTACATGTATACTTTTCAATCTCAATAGAGTAATCTAAAACATTGCACAATATTGGAAGGTACCTGTTAAATTTTGTAGGACACAGAGAAAAGTAACTACATTAGTCCTTGCATGATTACTGTTTTATTTAAGCATTTCTAATTTGTTTTAAGTATACATAGTTCATTAAAGTACAGCTATGAGAAGTAATAATAGAAACTCAAAAATTTCTTGGACCATGAATGTTTCTATTTTTAAAATATTTAGAAAAATTATCCTTTGAATGTAGTAGAAAAATGGGTAAAATGAAAAGGATCATAAGTGTTTCAATTAAATATTACTAATTTGAAAATAGAACAAAGTGAAGAATTCTAAAGTCTAACAGTTTTTGAATCAATTTTTAATAAGTGATTATAAAGGTGAAATATAAAATGATAAATTTCTTTTTGAATATAGTTTGCTGGAAAACCATTTTAAAAAACACAAACATTAGAAAAGAAGTACTACTAATATATTCACAAAGGAGTCTATGATATAATGAAAGTTTTGCCACTATGAGCTTATTTAACCTGTCTTAATTCCCTCAAGGGCATGGGAAAGTAGTTCATAATTTCTATATATATAAAGTTTGTTTCATTTTTAATTTATTTAATGCTGTATTGATTGCTAGGATATTTCAATAAATATGAAATGAACTCTGCCTCTATGGAACACACAATGGCCAAGCCCTGGAGTTGGCTAGTGGTGCAGCCCTTGATTACAGAAGTGCATAGGAAATCATAATACAAACAAAAAGGGGTGGGGGAACAATTGCCAAACAAGGACCTTTGAACTAAGTATTAAAGACTGCTATGGATTAAATGAAATTTCATCCCCACTCAAACTCATATTGAGGCTTGATCACCACTGTAATGGTTTTGAGAGGTGGTAAGGCCTTTAAGAGGCATTTGGGGTCATAGGGAATACTACACTTAGAAGAGATTAATGGCCATCTCAAAGGAGTAGGTTCAGTCTTGTAGGACTGGATTAGTTACCACATGACTGAGTTGTTATGAAGGAATCCCCCCCCCAGCCATGTACTTTATACATGCCTATTTCCCCTTATGCTTCGCAATAATGTCACACAACTAGGGGATCCTTCCTAGATGTGGATACCATGCAGTTTGGTCTTTTTAGTGACCAAAATCATGAGCCAAATAAAACTCTTTTCTTTATACATTATCCAATATCAGGTATTTTGTTACAGCAGTACAAAATAGACTGATATAAAGACGTAAAAAGGAAGTAAAGTAAGTGTAGAAAAAGAGGGTGTTTGTCATTTTTAAAGCCACTGAAATATATGGGAGTATATCTTCTCCAGGAGAAGATACCCTAGAAATCATACCTTCCCTTCTTTGATCTTGGTCCCAATAATTTGTCGTCTTTGCTGAATGATCTCAATGAGAAGATCACACTCCTCTGTCAATTTGGCTTCCTGACGTGATGCATTGACCTATAGGACAAATAAATTAGCAGTTAATTTGGCCTTCATTTCTACTTAGATAATATTTTTCATGTATACTAATTTGTTTCTAGTAATCTTTGAAAGTATATTTTAAATGTTAACTTTTTAAAAATACTTTTTAGTTGTCAGTGGACCTTGTATTTATTTATATGTGGTGCTGAGAATCAAACCCAGTACCTCACACATACTAGGCAAGCACTCTCCCACTGAGCCACAACCCTAGCCCCTAAATGTTAACTCTTTTCTTATTATGCAAGGATGGAAAATACAGGACCTAATTGCCTACTCCCTATCTTGTATCATTGGAAAACATTATTATCCAATGAGAATAAAAAAATTTCTGCTAGGCCAGAAGCAGCCTCAGAACCTTTAGGCATTCGAGGCAAGCACTCTACCAACTGAGCTATATTCCCACCCCACAACCTTTCTTAACATAAGAGGTAAATATCTATTACCTATTAGTTGGAAATTGACATGTGAAATGAAATATATTTGTAATTCCTGCTTTTATATTTTGGGAAAATGTGTCAAATTTGTCCTGTTAAACATAATGAGTAAATTTTCAACAAATCTTATTATTTGATGGAAGACAGAGTACTATCAGTATCTTGTAGAGAAATTTTCCAAAAGCATTTAACATTTATCTTAAAATTTTTCATTAAATATGGATAAAATATGTAATCAGTAATAAAACACTGAAAAAATACTAAAAAAGATGGTTGGACGTTGTATTTATCTCAAGACATAATTTTAAGTTTCACTCCTGGTAGGCTGAAAAGCCAAGCTTCGACGGAAGTGCACCATTCTTGTGAAAAGGTGGATCCTCGAAGAATGGCCAGCACTGGAAATTTTTGACTCATTATATGCAAGGGAGAGTTACAATTAGCTCATTCTTGGCAACTTGACTTGGGAAATACTCAGTACATGCTATTTCCTCCACCTCATGACAATTCTGAAGGGCTTATTCACCAACAGAAATCACAGCTGTGGGAGATGGAGATAGAATGCACAAGTTTTATTATTTTAGCACAGCCACAGGAGAAGTTGAAATGTTACAAAGAATGACAATGGCACTGATTATTCTAGTATATCTCACAGAAGAGACAAGGCTCTCTTATGAGGCCATTTGATTTGGAGATTTTTACTACTGTAAACTTCATTTTTTATGAATGAGATGCACTGGAAGTAGGGTCATGAGTTCATGATAAAAATCTATAGATCATGGCTCAGAGAAACTATGTCTTGTTTCTAGAGGCTCAGGATCCCTTGAACTTTGTTCCTGGTCCTTATCAGACACAACATAAAGATTACTCAAGATATCTTATTAAGATATCATGATTTCCTGTAAATGGCTGCTGACCATCAGCAGCAGCCATTTACAGGAAATCATGATATTATGTCCTACATCAGATTAGCACACATAGGTATTTGCTAAACATTCATTCAATTAACAAAGAAAAAATGCAAATGCATTGATTGACAAGTGCAAAATATGGAATTTATACCAATACTTCAAGAAAGATAAGCCTAGTGATTATCTTTCTTGAAGTATTGGCATAAATTCCCATGTATTACTTTTATGTCATCATTTCCAGCACAACTTAAGGTTTTGCACACAAGTTTAGCTGTCTATTGAAATGTTTATTAGAAAGTTACCCTCAATAAATTTCTTCTTTCCTTTTGACCTCATACTGAATTTAAAAACTGATCACAGCTGAGCTATGAAAAGGAAGGGATCATACTGATAACATTAGCACAGTCTCAGGAGGCTGAGACAGAAGGATTGCAAATTCAAAGCCAGCCTCAGCAATTTAGTGAGACCCTTCCTCAAAATAAAAAATAAAAGAGCTGGTGATGTGGCTCAGTGGTGAAGCACCCCTGGGTTCAATTCCTGGTTTTAAAAGAAAAAAAAGCACATTATGATGAAGAAAGTTAAATTTCTAGAAAGTAGCACTGACAAAGATTCTTAGCTTGGCCAAATTTTAGTCAGGCTCCTGCATCTCGTTCTAGGCCCATCTGTGCACTTCCTTGTAAAATCAACTTTTAGCAAGAAACTTGCTAAGCTGGTTTCATCAGAATCCTTCCCCATACCCAAGGTGATGTCTGATCACCTGGCCTGCTTTTAGCAAGGATTATTTTAGGTTAATTTAGTCAGAACCAACCTTACCCCCTTAATAGTATCCATTTTGCTCTCAAAATCATTGGGATTTGAGTTATTTTAGGTTAGAAAAAAAAGTTTCAGTTGCCATTATAACACAAGGTTCAATTTAGTACAGATTCTGAATATTTGATGTTTTGGGGATGAATAGGTTGACTTTATCAAAAAAGTAGACTGTAATCTACTGTGTTGAGCCAAATACATTTAAGAAACCTGATCCATAATCATCATCACCCCGAAATGTAATTCCCAGAAAGTTGGGAACATGATCTATTCATCTTAGGCCAAATATTTTCTCAAGATCATTCAAAGAATACAGGCTGAACTTTTCTTTGAAACCAGGAAGGCTGAATCTCTTTTTCTACTTTGATGAAGTTCCAAATTTTTGTTAACTCTAGCATTCTTATGTTCCTCAAGGTACAATAAAATAAGTGGAATATTATCCTATGTTTTTAAAAGTATTGCACGACAACGAGGTTTTCCACAGATTTGTTGTTTCATGTGTCATTTTAAAAAGTGTTAATGATTTGATTGGACTTCATTTCTCATATGAGCCATTAATTTAAATATAGTAGGGTTTACAGGTTACCTGCAATATGTTCGGGTGTTTCTGGTGCTCAGGTTTGGTTTGGAAACTAGCAGCTCCCGGCTATAATTTTAACTTGTATTTCAGATTCACATCACTTGATTTAAAAAAAAAAATCACTGTGGCTGATGGAAGTGCTCTGAATGGGGCCAAAATTCCTTTCCTTAATCTACACTTAGCACTTTTGTGTCATCAGTCTCTTCCTAGGTCACTCAGTACAAGGCAAGTGTGGAATGGAGATAATTAGGAGTGCTGCCCAGTGGTAGGTGATTACTATATACCACCTTTGGATCACATTGGAACTAGGGCACACTGTTCCTTTAGCACCCTTGACTTCTCAGGACAAAATTTAACTTAAAATTCAGTCCTCCTCCTATGACAACCTCCTCGATATTTGTTTTTTCCTCAAGTATACTGTTGAACAAATTTCACATCAGCCCCTCAAGTGAAGCTTGGCCATTTTTGTCTGGTCATTCTTTTGGCCTCACCTATTTGCTTAGAGTGCACAGCTCAACATCTACAGTCACAGCTCTCTTTCTTTTAAAAGGCATCATCTTTCCCCCATTGTTTTCTTCTATTCTTTAGGACTAATTTCATCTATTTGCAACATACTATACTTAATTCCTCTAAAGTTAAATCTGACCCAATCTCAATTCTTTCTATATTGAGTACTACCACCTCTTTTCATAGGCCCTAACTTGCTGAGGACACAAGTGCCACAGCCAATGTTTGTGCCAGTTTGAGTCCTGACAACTTTTTTAAAATGCTTGCAGCTGGGCACAGTGGCACCCGCCTGTAACCCCAGTGACTTGGGAGGCAGAGGCAGAAGAGGCACAAGGGCAAAGTCAGCCTCAGCAAATTAATGAGGCCCTAAGCAACTCAACAACACCCTGTCTTAAGATAAAAAAAATGAAAAATACTGGGGATGCAGCTCAGTGGTTAAGTACTCTGGGTTCAATCCCTGGTAGAAAAACAAAACAAAACAAAACACACTCGCAGTGATTCCTTTGAAAAAGCCAATCCGAACTGTTCAATCACTCATTCATTCAAAGGAGAGCTAAAGAATTCTTAACAGTGTATCAGCACTCCAACTGCTGTGCATACAGTGGGTTGCAAGAAAGACAATGTCTCCATTATCACAGAGTTTACACCCAAGTATAGAAAACCCGCTGAATGAATAAACAAATAAAAATTTCAGACTTACAGGTGGGGAAAAGAAGTTAGAGGGTAATGTGGTCAAGCATGGGTGAGAGGGGGTTCTTTTTTATGAGTGGTCAGACAAGAATTCTCTGCTAATACCCTTGGGGGATGAAAAAGAGCCAACCATAAGATGTGGTGAGGGTGTTTGCAGAACTCCAGGCAGAGTCCAGCAGGTTAACCTCCTCCTCCATCACACCCAGTCCATCTGCCTTATTTGCAGATTCTGTATGTATAATTTTTTCTGGCTATGTAATTTAAAAAAAAATATTTGTAACAACCAAATAATACTTGGGTCCTCTTGCCTCCATTTGCAGACATACACAGAGTATCAAAACTGAATTGCCCTACCTGCACCCAGCTGAGGCTGAACAGGGCAATGCTTTGTCTTATGTGTCAGGTCTCATGCACAAATAACCACAGAATGAACATAATATGGAAGACTCTGGCTTGGAGTCCCAACTCTTGCACTTGTTAGTAGGGTGGCCTAGTAGGGTGGTCTCAGGCTAGTCACTTACTTCTGATCCTTGTTTGCTGTTTTGTAAAATAAAAAAAAAATGGAATCTACCCTGATGGGTTGCTTTTAGAATTTAAGGTTATAATCCTGGTGTGATAGTCTGTATATGTATATGTACTCATATATACAAATTTCTCCTAGCAGCAATGGTTCAGTCCAGTATTCCATAGTTCAGAACTCACAGTGACTTTATAGAATGTAACTATTGCAAATAACAAGCATTGGTTGTTACTCTCTGGTGTGTCATCTTTGCCCTAAGTATTTTGGAAGCAGGGAGGGTAGAATAGGCAGGGAAATTACATAAGAAAAGCACAGTAGAAGAATCTTGCCTGTAGGGAGTTGCTGACTCACTTTCTACTATTCCTAGGGTCATTTTGCCACTTCTCCAATGAGGACCTTTTGATCTTTTACAGTCTGATTGAAATTAGAAAGTTGAATAAGGAAGCAAGTGCAGAAGGCACTCATGCTTGGCCCTCCTCTATCCTTCTATCAGAGATCAAACTCTGCTGCATTTTAATACACATATCAGA